TACATCAACACATGCAACCACTTTTCCTCTTCTTGTTCCTTTTCTTGAAATCGTTTAGTTTGAATGGAGGCAGTATATTTTGTGTTACGTTTTGACACTTCTTGGTTGGAGCAAAGACGGAAATGCTTACGTCTTCGGTTCGAGCTTTCTTCAATCAGCGCAGGCTGGATTTTACGTTCGCTTCCATCAGTACAGCTTGTCTTTGGTGGGATTCTTTGGTCTTGTCCATTCTTTCTGTCAAACGAATTTTACATTATCAGTTATATCCTATTTAAACCGAACATTCCAACCATACTGTCCACAACTTGTTTGCCTGGTTCAAATTCTAATATCTAAAGTGCGATAGGTCAAAAGGAGAATACAAATACGGTTGCTAGTATGCATAAAGGTTAGACATCCACAAAACTATGTTTGATGGTGTCTTGTAGGTAATACATTTCCACAAACGCATTACAGATTTTTTTAATTGAATTAGAGACATCTTTGGCCGTTACTGATATCTAAAATCAAATTAAATATATCATTAATAATTTTGAAGATACCATTATATCAGTTATTGATATCTGTAATACAAGTAATAGGAAAGAACGGCAAAAATTATCTCGCGATAATATATAATTCGATGAACATAGAGATTTTTTCTGGGTTACATCTTCTTTTTATTCTCGAGTACAACGTTTCAGGGCTTGTTCTGGCCCCATCATCAGGTAAAACTGATTCTAAGATGCCTAGCGGTTAGAACAATCGAAAAAAAAATACATTATCAGACAATAAAGGTATAGTTTTTTGATGACGTAACAATTGAATGACGTTATCCCGTCACTTCGCCATTCTAGTGTGCCCCCTCGTAATCGAACCATTTTACATTACGTCACAATGTAAGCGACGTCACGATGCATGTCAGTTGTCATCGCCTCGTACGGCCTCCTACAGTAAACTACACCGTTGCATGGAGCACCTTTAGAATACAGCACCACAACTTCTCGTGAGGACGATCTCTGCCGTAGGTCACGTGTCATTAAGACAAGCAACCAGTTTGTGAGAACCCGTCGGACGCGAACCCGCGACCTTCGGATTGTTAGCTCGACAGCTAACTGACTGAGCTACGTCCACACTGTTGCACATTATCGAGTCATTCCTGTGACGTCACGGAAATGAACGGAAAGAGTCGAATAGGTCACGGACAATTACGAATGCTACGGGTAGACTTGGTGTCATGCGATTTTATTCTACGGACAGTTGCCGAATGGATCCGATGCCATTTGGCACACTCGTCCCATTCCGTAATCTACAAATTAACGTGTGGCGTGGAATGAGCCGATATGCCGCAAACGGAAAAGGGTTGTTGACGTCAGGCGTCAGACGTAGATTTCACGGTGCATGCATGAATGACGCGCTTTTATATAAATCTGTGATTTTGTGACAGAAAAGATGTAGGGAACACTGTAAGGATAATGTGGATCGCAATAAGGAACGAGGGAGACATGAGCATGTGTAGTGACGGCACGAGGGTGAGTTAGCCTTCGAATCATTACTTTACAAAATTTATGTTGCGTGTGAAAGAGGCTTCAGTGCAAATTCCAGGCCAGTTTCCATTAGCCCAAAATTTCTACATTAACCCATTTCATAATGTACTTTCGACGTTTTTGGTTTCCCGTTTTTGTGTGAAAAAAAAGTATTAAAATGCAAAAAAGAAAAACAACAAATGGTACTCACGTATTACACCGGACACGTACCTACTATATTGGATTAGGTCCCTAACCCTAACCCCTAAACCCTCAGCCCTAACCCTAACCCTAACCCCTTGAAATAATCCTAATAAATAGAATGCATTGACCGAACCACCGGACATGTACCTACTATATTGCATTAGGTCCCCAACCCCAACCCTAACCCTAAACCCTAACCCTAACCCTAACCCCAGCCCTAGCCCTAACCCTAATCCCTTGAATTAATCCTAATAAATAGAATGCATTGACAGAACCGGCACAAACACGTCTAGTGTAATGCATTATTACCGCTTCGAAATTAAAAATACTAATAAAACACTTTTCTATGTAATTGTGCAACTTACTGAATGACAAAAATATATATGCAAATTTAAAAAAATTACAAAATACACAACACTTAACACCCCAGCAGCCCGTAATACAAATAAATATGAGCGTATTAGTGAAAAAAGAAAAATATTTCAAACTGGTGCTTGCAAAATATTGCGCATCCGCCGGTATACAACTACTGGAAACTCTCAACATCGTTGGGCTTATGCAATGACATAGTTCGTAGAGATGAAACACCAGTGAGCGGAGCTTATACGCACTCGCTGAGCCAGACAACCGTGTTGCCATGCAGGCGTCATAAGGCATTGTTTCGAGAACGTGCTTTCGAACAAAATCACATTACATTACGTAAAAGGGTATTATGACGTATTTTTAAAGTTTGTGGTGCTGTATTCTAAAGGTAGGAAAGTATTAAATTTGGCATCTTCGAACGAAGTGTATTTCTTAAATACATGGTGGTAGAGCGAAGTGTATTTCTTAAACAGTAACTGTTAACTCTGGCCGTGACGTCACAATGCTTATGACGTCACAATGCTATGACGACGCAATACATGTGGTGGTCAATAGATACAGATGACATGGCTAATAGAATACATGTTATTATGAATATATAAGATGTCGTTTACTGCAAAATTAATGGATCAATTTAGAACTGTGCAGATACTTATACAAAATTGTTGATTAATTTAGAAATGTACAGAGACGTATTTATAAATGTATAGAATGTAAAGTAATAGCAGTGTATACATAGAAATTATGCTTTATACATGGGAACAGTAACGAGGGTAGGGTATTGTCTTATTGTTTTATGTACCATGCATTTGGGAGGTAGACACCCTGATCCCTGTTTATTGCTGGTTTTGTGCGTTTGATGAAGATAGCTTCAATCAACTTGCGTTTCCGCCAGTCACTTATGTTTTTTGCGAGGACTTCAGTTTCCCAGTCAATTTCATGATCGGGATTATTCATAATGTGTTGGGAAACCTGCAGATTTCAGAATATATAATTCATTTCAAGAAATCTCCAGTTAAATTCAAGATATCTTCAATTCAAATCAAGATCTCTCTATTTACTTTCAAAGAATCTTTAAAACAATTAAGATATCAGTAATCTCTCAATACCTTATATTCTTTTAGATATCTTTAATTCATTTCAAGAAAACTCCAATTCAATTCAGGATAACACAATTTCAATTACTTAAATATATACATATTTAATTGCAAGATATCGGGAACTGAAATACAGACATCATTAAAAACATGAATTTGTACATATCTTTAATCCTGTATAAGACAAAATATTATGGATATACTACTCTGTTAACCTGTTTATTGTGTAAACATGCTTAAATTCACTCTGGCTTTAAGTACACTACTAGTATATATATCCTGGATACCTGTTAGTTACCATTCACCTGACGAAGGGGCAAGGAAAAGCCCAGAAACGTTGTGTATAGAATAAACAAGCAGTTGACATCATTACTATTTTGTCTTATACTTGAAAACCAACTTCTATATGCCTCTCAAGAACCTTATCTTTAATCCTATTCTTGTATCAATAATCCAATTTATAATATTAGCAATTGTTTTCAAGATATTATTAATATGCTTCGCAGCTTCATCATATCCTTAATTCATTTCGCGATATCATGAATTTTACTGTAGATATCTATAATTATCTCCATTCAAGAAATATTTGATTCATTTCAAGATATCTTCAATTCAATTAAAGGTACATGTATATTCAATTCAGTTCAAGATATCTCTGCTTTCATTCAAGATTACTATAAAACAGTTTCAGATATCGGTATTTCTCAATGAGCGTGAAAACGGCTTGCCATGAGTACTGTCAAATATGAGATTATAAACTAAAGAAGATCATTGTTAACAGACGTTGATGATTATGTTGTGACAGTTTGTCATTGTTTGTTATCGCACTGTTCGTGACGTCATAGCATTGTGAGGGTGTTGTAAAAAATCTATTGTCAAAATTACATCTCCTTGGCGATAATTTGATCTCACACAAGCAATATCTCCTATGGAACAAAGTTTTGGATGATAAAGTATGACCTGCCCTTGTTCAGCAGTATGACCTAGACTGGTGGATGCAACAGTGGGATCTGGTCAGGAGCAGCAGCCCTACTGCACCACTTCTACCGCTAATATAAAGTGTGAATCAGATTGAGGGGATAAAATGTGTGCAAGCATCCAATATTGTTCGATATTTTATCACGCAGACAACTGTGGTTTTGTCTGCCAACATTATTATGTAACCATAATAAAGAAAATTGTATTTTAAGCAGAATTCAAGGCATGAAACATTATGAACAGTCTGGTAATACCTAACAAACGTTAAGAATTATAGGATTGCCAATCGATAGATGTATCTTAAAGAGAATTTTAGTTCGAAATGTATTTTTTTCTGATGTTATCGTGCTAAAAATAAGGAGCAAAATAAAGTATACTGAGTTGGTTTTAAAGCAACTGGAAAAATTAAAAACCGTTTGTTTAATGTTTTATTACTACCACACTGCAATAATCAACTGAGAAAGTATATATATAGTTCCCCTATTGCTCGTGGCTCCCTGACTCAGGTCTTTCATATTTCCCGCCTAAAGATCCATGGCGATAACCAGCCTGGCGCAACACATCCGTTGAACCAGGCCAGGTGATAACCGTCTCGGGAAACGACGTCCGTTAAAACAATTTGATACAAGAATATATAGTATGAAAATAGTAAATCTAATGGTGCAATAATTTGGCGGAATTAACAATTGGTTTCGTTCTACAGTCATCGCATGTGTTCGGTTTCCTTCGACAACTTCCGCCCCTGGTTCCACGTCAACTCGGAAGTTGTGGCACGCAAGCTTCATACAGGGTTTTATAGGTATCGTTGTTCGAAAAGTCCAACGGGGTGTCTGAAAAACCATGTTCAGAATACAAGCGATGAGTGAGCAAAAAGCTTAATTTAGTAACACGTCAACAAAAGGGAAATACGTGATCAACGGTTAATTTCTTAAAGATTTCATGAGATGGAGTTTTAGTTGCCTTCAGAATTTTGCATTCTTTTCCGATAGCCATGTGTGTCACAAAACATACCACTAAAATATCGATGTTGTCATGACAAGTTCACGGAAGTGAAAACTTGCACAACATTGGGCGGCCATTTACAGACAACCAACAGCGAGTTCAGAGTGACGTGTCTGTTTACACGACATAATCATTTGACAGGGCACAAATTACGCTGACCATCTGAAATCGTAATCATGGCGTTGGAGCCTCCATCTGCCCAAATACTGGATATGCTTTTTGATCAGAATGACGGGGTTTTGAAGGAGGAACTAAAAGACGTGCAGACCATAGATTTCGTGAGTAGTTTTCCTTTTAGACTATCTATATTAGTATCTGCGATATTTTGCGCATTTAGGATCTACATGTTTCATCAGCTGTTGTCGTGTTGTTTCCCAACACGTATACACAACTGACACAGTCAAAAGGACGAGCAGATCGACGATGAATCATTTTAGTTCCAAATTGCCAACGACACCACATTGCTCATGTACGATGATGATGCAGGACTGCAGCTGTTGTTTTTACAAGCCATTAACATTTTCATCGAATCAAGGAGCCTCCTGACACGACAACACGTGTTGTCCTAATTCGTTGGCTACACTTTTTGTTCGAGTAATAACCCGATTACTCGGCTGACAAGAGATAACCGTCCAGTAAACAAGTTTACTGAAATTGGAGACAGCCATGCAACCGAGTAACAGGATTTTGTTTACTGGTCTCACTGCAATGTCAGTGATGGACACCGGCATGGACGGATGGGACAGTGATGTTTGGGATATGGTGTCTGTGTGTACACTTACATATTTATCATATATGTGTCATTTTGTGGACTGATATTTGTAAATTTAAGTCAGAAGTTGTTGATTGCATCAGCTTCACTTATACTGCTATCTTATGTTATTATAGTTGATATTTGCATAATGACATTGAGATTTTGTGTATTTATTTATAATTTTGGGGTTGTTTTCTTTGTTTTAATTTGATATCAGTCCAACATCATGTAAATGTTCATAATGTTGGAATGCAAATTTCATGAATTATTTGACAGCCATTTGACAGATGACCAAGTAAACACATTTGATGATGACAACTTCTGTTGTTATTGTATGGTTATAAATATGTTGAATATAAAACAATTGAGTGTTTAACTTTTGCGTACAAACGATATACTATATGTTTACAGGTTGTGATGTTATAGTGGATATAATACTAACTAGCATAAAATCCAAATTTGCTTAACCATGTTAAAAATCTTTGTGTTATTTTCACAGAATGATCTTGACATTGACCTCCTGCAAGACAACATATTTGATTCCCTGCTGACAGACGAAGCCTTGGATCAGCAAATCCAGCCACAGAGCGAGCCCTCAAAGAAAGTGCTTACAGATCATGACTATTACGCTCACAAATCCCCAGCGAGCACAGTGACAGTGGTGTGTCATTAGATTCAATGTCGGACTCACCTCGTGGTTCAACAGATAGACTAGAGACAGTGTCCAGTGAAGGACAGTATTTGGAATCAGTGGTCAGCCCGTTACAATATGGAACTGAGACAATGTTCCCATCAGACACAAGCCCTCTGGGGCTGGAGGACTTAGAAATGCAGGATGTAAATGTGGATTTCTCTGGTGTTGACTCAGCAAATCTCATGGACCATTTTGATCTCCTTGCATCAAATGACAAAGAAGTATCTGTGAATTTTGGTACGTTGTCTTTGATAGTATTTGGACAGAAATACTCCATTTTCATAGATCTGATTTTAAGGTGAAAGGGAAAATATTAGCAACAGTAGTTATCATGGTTATGCAAATATAGTTTACTTAATAATGTCTTCATTATGTTTTAAAATAGTCAGATGTCATTATGATTATGATAATGTAAGACGTCTTCCTGACCATGATGACCATGGCAGGTGTCATGTTGTGCATGTGACCGTGACATTGTGCTTGTCAATGTCATATTCAACTAAATCAGTTGTTACCATGGTTACAGCATTGAAAAACTCCCAAATTCTCTTTAAGTGGCCTATATTCTGCACTAGTGGTCATTTGAACCTTACTAAATTTACTATGTGCATGATGTATACAGAGAAAAAGAAGTTAAATATCTGTAGAGAGGATTTCATATTTAAGACATTTGCTGAACTTTTTTACAGATTCTGGGAGTGACAGTGACATTTCACCAACAAACAACACCTCCTTTATCACAGTCAGCAGCGGAGACAAGAAAACCGTTCAGATCCTGAAGTTGTCCCAGTCCCAGTCTCACTCCCTGCCCTTCACAGTAAAGGATGTGAATCCAGAGGTTACAAGTACATCCAAGGTAACATAACAATTAAATGTCAGGATGTATTGATCACATAAGGTGCTTCAAATTCCTGTGCAGTTGCTTTCCCCTTTGCATGATAGCAGCCTTTGGTTTCAGATGAAGCCCATGGATGAATCTCGGTACCATCCCGATGAACACAATTCATCGTATCCCAGACCGATGTTCATGCTGTTGATCACTTGATTGTCTGGTCCAGTCTGAATTATTTACATACCTCCACCATATAGTGCAGCTTCAAGCAACAAACAAACATCCCTTATGTTCATGGGTTTCACCAAGGTGCTAAATCTTCCCAAGACCTTAATCAGTTTAGCTTACCTGATAGTTAATTATGGTTATGACTGAAACCAAATCTATGATGTCAGTCTTAACTCCTGATAGCCGATACAGCCAGCCAATTTCTTCTTCAGGATTGTTTAGTGTATGTCAAAAACAGGTTGTCTCAGTTTCTGCTGCAGTCAAATATTTTCATGATTCTTGGTACATTCAAAGCACAATTACTATTATTCGGGTTCTCTTAACCTGTTTGCTAATCATGGCTATTCATTTGAATACAACACATATGTTTTAGACATGAATTTGATGAATATGTTGATTACAGTGGACTCTGTCAATACCGGCCTCTCTTAACACCGGCACTCTGTCTACATCGGCACAAAGTTTCAGTCCCGGCAGAAATGCACGTTATTATCATTTAGAAACTTCTGTAAACATCGGCATCTGTCTATTCAGGATATCGGCATTGTTTTTCAGTCCCAACGAACAAGTTGTTATGAAAACGAATCTGTAAAAACCGGCACATGAAAGACGGCGTAACCCTTTGATGCAATTAGGTCCAAATGATGTAACAACACAATTGGCTGTGACTCGAGATTATTCAGAAAGCGGAAACTGTTAATCAGTATCTTGTTAATCAGTGAGTGGTGCGTAACACTTACCCAGAGTAATTAATACATGTAGTGGGCAGCTTGACTGTATAAACAAGCAAGTGTTTACATTTTGTTGATTCGCGGGTATTGACTCGAGATTATTCAGAAGCGGGAAGTGTCAATCAGTTTCTTGTTAATTAGTGAGTGGCGCGTGTCACTTACATAGAAGGCGAATCGTTTGATGAAGTGTATCGTTCGAGCGCTCTGAACATCAACAATATCACTGTACTCTTGCGAGAGTATTTTCACATTTGTAAGAAGCGATTTTATTGGATAAAGATTGGTTTCTAACGGCGGCTTTTTCACTACACTCTGCTTATAAGAGTGTGAAGTGATTGGTCAAAATCAGACCGTGACCTAAGCAGCCAATCATATTATGGAAATGGATACCGTTCTGCGTAGCGAAAACTTTTAGATTAAGGCGAAAGTTTTGGGGTAAAATAATGCTATTCTGAACATATTAAGAAAAGACATCGCTACCTATCGTAAATTATGGAACTTATTGGACATAGCGTGCTAGGTTATGGCCTATGACAAAATGCTTCATGCATATATTTTCACATTAAGCATCGTGTGAAAGCCGAGATGTAACTTGTCAGTGACTTGACTTACATTGCATGATCGCACAAAAGTATGGAAATAGTAATTTTATATATGCGTTTCACAACTTTTATGAATGTTATTGTTGATTTCAATTTATTTAATGATTTCCTCGATGTTTGAAACATCGTTACTTTGCTCTTTGACAATGCTATTGTAGACCCGCTGCCGAAGCATAAACAAGAATCGTTGTTTGCAATAACATTGCGAAAAATAGTTTATAATTTTAATTCTGCCGATAATATATGATCAGTTGAAATTCAATAAGAGATTTCAGACATTTTTATTTGATTTAAACAACATGAATGTGCATTCAGTCACTGCCTTGTTTCTTATTCAAACATTTTGTTAATGCTAAAGTGACAGTACGACAGCGAACTTCCGTGTGCGCAGGCGTCATAAGCGAACCTAGCTAAACCGGCACTCTGTCAAAACCGGCATTTTTACTTGGTCCCGACTGATGCCGGTATTGACAGAGTACACTGTATTTGAGTGGAGGATATGTTTTCTGTCGTTTAATTGTCTCTTATGACCATTTTTTGTTCATTCATGCTTTTGACTACTGTGTCAGTAGTCATGCCTTTAGTTGTGCAGATGTAGGATTAGATTTGTGATACAGTCAAGATAGATTAATTAGGGAATGAGTTGTTAGGAAAGGAAAATAATCATTGTCATAAAGACTCCCCACATTATTTATACTTACCACTGCATGCTTATTAACATTGACATGATTGAGAAAGACTACATCACGATATATGTGAACAGAAATCATTACTCTGTGTAGCAGTTTGGCAAATTTCTTTATGTGATGTACCTTGAATTTTCAGCTTATTTTCCTGTTTTCGTGTTGCAGTACCCTGACCTACAGCTGACAGAGGAGGAGAAAGAGCTGTTGTGTCGTGAGGGCGTGTCCCTACCCTCCCACTTACCTCTCACCAAGGAGGAGGAGAGAGCCCTTAAGTCCATCCGCAGGAAGATCCGCAACAAGGTAATGGCGAAACTGTCATGATCATGAAATCAGTGGGGTTTTTTTGTCTTTTTTTATTTATATATATTTATATAGAGCCCATATCCAGATCACCTGCTCAAAGACGTTTGTTTTTCCCTAGATCATGTCTTTTGTCCAAGTTTGCACATTGCTGTACCTGCAACTAGGTGGCCACCATCTTTACCAATGGATTCGTGGGTTCTTTTAAGTGCACAGGGTTGTGTACTATACACTAAGGGTTATGACAACACTGAGAGAGTTGACTCCAAGGTTTTTACACCCGGTCACAGGTGGGCTCGATGCCGTCACCTCAAGCTCGCTGGATGACTAGCCTGGCGCCTTAACCAGTGCCTTAGGGCCAGCTCGCCCACAATGCCCCTGACATGTTGCAGTACTAAATGTATATATAAGGACAGAATATGAATTGGCCACGGTGAAAGGAGGTTGGCTTACCATATGTATCAACATTAGTGTTATTGGTTGCATGTATGTGTAATTTTCGCATGTATCCACATGAAATGCCCATGCAAATATTGGCAGTCATGTGTTCGAAGCATTCACTTGCCTTACCGATGACATGGGTTCGAAACCCCACGTGGGTACCGTGTGTGCAGCCCATTGTTGGTGTTCAAAACTGGTATGGGTCGTGGTCTATCTTACATGGGTGCCAACATCTTTGAACCAAGTGTGTAAGCAACATGTTACATTAGCAGAAGCTATGAATGGTCAAATGAAAAGTCGATGATCTTTGTCAGTCGATGTTATCAAAGCTGTATCGTTTTAGAACTTTTTGAAAATTAGTTAACACAGCACTACAACGATTTATACCATGAGATTTAGCCATGTCACATTGCCTCTAAGTAGGAACAGTATTCTTTTATTGTAATATGCAACGCAGAATTTACTGGCTTGCACATGTGTAAAAATAACAGCTGTCATATAGCTGAAACTTCAGAAAGATTCTTAGCAAAAAGTTAGTGGTGTTCTAAGTTAAGGATAAGCATGTGTATTATGTTTGCAGATGGCTAAAAGTATTCAGGGGCAGTGGGGAAGCCTAGTGGTTAAAGCGTTCACTCGTCACGCTGAAGACTGGTGTTCAATTCCCCATGTGGGTACATTGTGTGAAGCCCGTTTCTGGTGTCCCCACTGTGGAATGCTGGAATATTTCTAAATCGGCATAAAACCAAACTCACTCACTCACTCACTCACTCTTAAAAAGTATTCCGGTGGGTTATCAAGCCCTGCTGCCATATTCCCTGTGATTCATATTGATAGTTATTCTTTGATTTTAATAGGTGTCAGCAAAGGAAAGTCGCAAGAGAAAGATGGAGTATGTTGATGGTTTAGAACAACGGGTCAAACTGTGCACCTCCGAGAACCAGAATCTACACAAGAAAGTAACTGCTCTGGAGAAACAGAATATGTAAGATGATTTTGAGGGGCTGTTATACAAGCATTAATGTTTATTGAAATGTCTAAGTACAAGAATCGAAATTACCTCTATACCTTACCTTGTTTACTGTTTACATTGAAGACCTGCCCATAAGGCATCTGTAAACGTAAGAATGGAAGAATATCATCAAGACAGATAAAGAGTTGATTAATATTACATTTCTTGGTCCCATGTTATACCAAGTTACCGTCTTGTTGCACCATCCAACAGACTCCATGGCAGGAGATGACTGTAAGTCCATGACTGTAAGACTAACATGTCAATGTATCGGCGCTCCAGGTCTCTGCTAACCCAGCTGAAGAAGCTGCAGATGATGGTGACGGCCAAGTCAGGTCGACCTGCCCAGGCAACAACCTGTCTCGCTGTCTTGCTGTTGTCCTTCGCCCTGCTGGTGATACCTAACTTCAACCCATTCTCAAGAAGCAGCTCTGTCTCAGATCTCAAGCAGATGCCTATGCCAGGTGAGCTGAACACTTCATGTCATCACAATCCCTTATCATCACAAGTATCTGCATGTTGCAAAAATACATAATAGTGCTCTCCATTTGACAGATAGCTGCATTGTGTTTATACTTACGAAGTGAAAACAAGCCATTCCAGTGATAAGGATTCTTACATTATTGGCAAAAAATTGCTAAGAGGGCTTTTCATGAAATAGTTGTAATATATGTGTGAACTAATGTAATGGTTACGTGTACATTATCAGCACAAATACAAATCTGTATATGTCATCTCTAAAGCATCATTGACCTAATATTTTATGCATGTAAGGGACCGTTCATAATTTATGTGTGGGTGTGGGTGATGATTTTAAGAGGGAGGGGGAGTTCCACCCATCTTGTTCTGGGGAGTCAGCAATTTTGTACACATGTAATAGGATGAGGGGGTAGCAATTCTGTACATAGAAATGTTAAAAACATGCTCAAACATTATGGGATGGGGGGTCATTGATTTTGTACATGACATGCAGGGCGGGGTCACTTACTTTGTACATATATAGGGAGGGTCATTCACATTGTACATGCTTCTCCATGAAAATCATCATCACCCCCCAACCCCCTTACCCATAAATTATGAATGGTCCCTAATGCTACATGACTGCTCACTGTCACCCGGTCCCTAATGCTACATGACTGCTCACTGTCACCTGATCCCTAATGCTACATGACTGCTCACTGTCACCCGGTCCCTAATGCTACATGACTGCTCACTGTCACCTGATCCCTAATGCTACATGACTGCTCACTGTCACCTGATCCCTAATGCTACATGACTGCTCACCGGTCACTAATGCTCATGACCCGGTCACTAATGCTACATGACTGCTCACTGTCACCCGGTGACTAATGCTACATGACTGCTCACTGTCACCTGATCCCTAATGCTACATGACTGCTCACTGTCACCTGTCTAATGCCGGTGACTCAATGCTACATGACTGCTCACTGTCACCATCCCCTGTCACCCGGTCCCTAATGCTACATGACTGCTCACTGTCACCTGATCCCTAATGCTACATGACTGCTCACTGTCACCCGGTCCCTAATGCTACATGACTGCTCACTGTCACCTGATCCCTAATGCTACATGACTGCTCACTGTCACCCGGTCCCTAATGCTACATGACTGCTCACTGTCACCTGATCCCTAATGCTACATGACTGCTCACTGTCACCCGGTCCCTAATGCTACATGACTGCTCACTGTCACCTGATCCCTAATGCTACATGACTGCTCACTGTCACCTGATCCCTAATGCTACATGACTGCTCACTGTCACCTGATCCCTAATGCTACATGACTGCTCACTGTCACCCGGTCCCTAATGCTACATGACTGCTCACTGTCACCTGATCCTTACCAAGATTGTAGCCATGTGATCAAACTCAGTGATGATGTTTCTTGTTTGATTTTCTTGTCAGAGCTTTTAAGTCATATTCCTTATCACTAGTAAGGCTGGTTTTCATTTTGATAAATACTAACACCAAATGCAGCTATCTTCATTCTTCAATCTTAATCTTTCTATTGAGGACTATATGTCACTCAAGTGTTAATTAAGATCCACTGTACATCTATCTTTGTGCTTGAAATGTCTGTGACACTGTCGTTCACCAGAGTTGTGTCCCTTGGCGATAACACTGAAGACATTTTGGAATCCCTGATTGCTGCTTGTTAAGTTGTTATGATCTAAGGTTTGTCAGGCCCAGACTCATATAATCAGATTATTGTCCAAGTGTACATTATTGATGGTGGGTTAACACTGTTGTTCACTTTGTAGGGAAGTCCAGAAGCCTCTTGCACAGCAACGATGCCTTGAATGGGAACGATGATGACCCTTACGGTGTGTCTTTCAAACCCTCCTTGCCCTGGAATGCCAAGACACCGGCCATCCAACCCATGAAAGGCAGGATCAAGGCTAACGAAGAAAGTGACATAAACACAGCATCGGACTCCAATGAGACGGCAGAAGTGGACCCAGATTCCCTGAATGGCCTGCTGCCAGTGGAGGAAAACGTTGTACAGGACACAGTAGACATAAATGACAATGATGGAAAAGAACAATTTGCTCACAGACAACAAAAACTAGAGGAGGCAGACTTATGAGTACTGACTTTCTTTTGTTTGTTAATGTGTAACAAAGTTATATCTGGATGACTGATCATATACCTAGATCACTGAATCACTGATCATATAACTGGATCATTGAATCACTGATTATTTAACTGGATCACTGATCATATACTGGATCACTGATCATTTAACTGGATCACTGATCATTTAGCTGGATCACTGATCATTTAACTGGATCACTTATATAACTGGACTTGACGGTGATCAGAGATATCCACTAATTTGTCCTGTTTTGGCAGCAAAAATTTGTCATTCATGTTTGTAGGTTTATACTCTAACTGTCCGTCAGTAATGACCGTCACAATTTAACGGGTCATTACTCTTTCACTTGGCACTTTCATCTGTACAGTGCCAAATATGTTAGTTTTAAATGATGCAGCTGCCACCGATCACAGTGCTAAATTGTATTTGCGCTTTGAGCATGGACTGCATGGATACCGGCGCATTACAAATGGGTGATGATGATGATGATGAATTAAAAGATGTGAACATGATGAGGGTGGTCTGTAGGATGTAATGTAGATGCAGGCATAAACATTGTTTTCTCAGACACAGTAACATCTGTGTTAATGCTACACTACTGTGTGTTCAACTTGCCCAGCGAATAACAATTCAACAAAACTTGATTGATATTAACAGAGCTCCAGATAAGATTTAGCTCATGTGGGTACTGTACCCACTGTATATTTTTGGAGTGGGTATTATGAATGTTGAGTGGGTATTTCATTTTCCGTTACCCACTGCTTTCAAATATGTGCGTATTTCAGTCAGTTTACTCACCTAAGTATATGTCATTGAGTAAGTTTACTAAGCAGGTATGTTCTGCCTTATGTCATACCTAATCAAAACCAACTTAAATATAATGGAAATGATTTCATAAAAAATCACTCATCCTATACTGACAGTACAACACTTGTCCTATACCAACAGTAACTTGATAGCAATCGATGTCTTTTTCATTACGCAAGCGATTTTTATAAAAATATTCCGTACGCATTTGTTCTAAGTTTGTTGCGTATCTAACATTTTAAATGCGTGAATTAGTGCTTAACACTTATTTTTTTCAATCGTAATTGGAAATTTTCTATGCGTATTTTACCCGGATACGCAGCTTATCTGGGCCTCTGTATTAATATCCCGAGGCGAATATAAGGAAAATACAAGGACGCTTTTTGCTTTATATAGTCTTCAAAGATAAGCTGAAGTTGCTTTATAACCTTTGAGTTGGTAACCTTTTGCAACAAATTACAGTAGAGAATTTGAACTTGGCACAAACAACCACCATATGTGAGTGAGTGAATGAGTTTAGTTTTACGCAGCCTTTTTGCAGTATTCCAGCAATATCAGTGCGGGTGATACCAGAAATAGGCTTCACCCATTGTACCCATGTGGCACCATATATGATGTGAATCATGTTTTGTACAGTGTACATATGCTGTGGACTGATAGCAATTAGCGGTCAATCTCTGTATGTACAGCTGGGCTGTATCATCTTTTTAATGAATTTACACTTCTATATTGTGGTGAATATATCATACACATAGAGAAAATGACAATGATTTTATTTAATGAGGTGTGAAATGATTTGTTTCAGTGGGGTCGAGTAATTTATCATTTTGTTTAACATCAGAAAATAGCTTTTCAAAATGGAAAGCTATGTGTTCTAGTATTGTCTTGTGCTGTACCTATTTGTTGATCTATTGTTTATCGATACATATTTATCATGTTTACAGAAAGAATAAACTGTTTTTGATATTTGATTGTGATGTCATTTTTGGATGAAAGTCTTCGCCAGTTTATATCCACTGTAGTGAACCATGTTGTACTGGGCTTCTTGATGATTTGTAAGTTCTAAGCACTGGACAAATTTTGTCTGGTGTACCATGACTGTTTAAAGTCAAAGTCACTGGATGTGTACTGTAGGATTACCTCAATTGATGCCAATATGATCCTTTAACTCTTTCCAAGATATAACATAATAGGTGTTGGGTATACGATGTCAATTTTATTATGATTGACACATAACATAAAATACATAACATCCTCCCTTCTAAATAACAGTTTAAAACTATCGAGATAAAAGGTATACCCAGGGAGGGTGTGTGTGTGTGTGTGTGTGTGTCCGTACGCGCCGGCTGCTGCCGTTGGACTGACTTCTCTGTCCTGTAGAAAGATGAGTGCGCACGCACGCTCATTCCGCACGTGCATGCTTGCGTGGTAGAGTGCTGTCTCCCGGTAGAGCACCTGTCTGTCCAGGGCCTGTGGGAGTTAACTTAAATAATATAAATTATTACCCCTTAACTCTTTCCAAGAAATAACATAATAGGTGTTGGGGATACGATGTCAATTTTATTACGATTGACACGTAAAAAATGACAAACTGTTCGTAAAATACATAAAATCCTCCAAACCCCCAACACCTATTCAGCACATGTTGCTGCTATTATCATTGCTTTTGAAAATTTATCATGAATTTGGCTATCTATAGAAACGTATCTTTCATAGGCATTTGATTTCCAATCTCCATGAAGCTTGATAAGTATGGGCGACACGCCTATCTTGTGAGTGAAGGTACAGCCCCCTTGCCTGAATGAGTGGCCACTGTAGCTATCTGCCGGGTACCCACAGGCCACCAGCACCGTCTTCAGTGCTGTGATGAAGGAGCTGTAGGTTAGACCACTGATCTTACCATCACACATGAAAGAAAACAGATGATTTGTAGGCGGTATTGCCCTGGTTATCACGAAGTGACCTGAGCGCTGTAACAGGACACAAAGGAGAACACTGCAGACTGGCTAGTGGCAGTTGTAACACCCTCTGTCCGAACTGAATGGTCTTGGAGTGTCGGATGGTCACATAAACTGTAACATCATTAACATTAACATCACGAATACACAATTTGCGATCAGGAGATTTACCTTGTTTACCAGGTAGCAGTGTAGACTTCCTCATAAAGGTAAAGAAAGCCACCAAACATGCACTCCAAAATGCGATGTTAAAAGGAATAGATAAATTCGAGTTTAGATCTGATTTGTCGCAGAATGGTTGGCGTGATAGGCAATTTCTGTGCCGGTGGCTTGCCTTGAACACGCATGACACCCCTTTTAACTAGACTTAGCGTCCATGCTGTGAGGGGGGTTGTCGAAGCCAGAGTTGAGATGTAGTAGTCTCTATCAATAATCCTAAATCCGTGAGTTATACCAGATAGAATAAAGTCTTTGTCACTATCCTCCTCTAACTCTGTTTCCCATTGCTCTTAAGCGCGAGTCAAAGGGTTGGACTGTAGTTGCTATCGCCGACTGTGAGGTTGAGAGGCAGACCACGGGTTGTGAGCTAGGGGCTGGGGTGTGATTCTGAAACTGAGACTCGTGAGCGTACTCCGGGTGTGGCACGTAGCAGACACGTGCGCATACTTAGTTAGTGTAGCGACAACCTGAATGGTTCTGAAAGTTTATACAATTTTTTTTACTGCCGTTAGTTGGACAATGCGATGCTATCCTTACTGAAACTGGTTCATTTTTCTCTAAATAATAGAACATTATGGTAGTCTTATGTCGGTCCACTTCTTGGACTCTTCTGCCTGTGATTTTCTATGCATATAGTCAAATAGCATTACAGATGGGGCAGTATGCTGCTGAAAATAGTCACCGATATGAGCCCGTGTATTCTAGATATTCTATGGTTTGTTGTGTTTGTTTTGTTTGTGCTTAGATTTGAGCAAATTAATCATTATTCTTGCATTGGCTGATATCCACTGCTCTGGTCTAATCTTTGCTTGAGAGTTTCGTTTAAGCAGAATTGTGCCGTCTGCAACGTTAAAGACGTCCTGAGATTCATGAACTACCGTCCTAGGTCTTGTTAAGAAGTCAGTGATGTAGAGTGGACGCTCACCTTGTACGACCTTCCGTGCGGCGTGGTCCGCCTGCTCCGTGTATAGAACGTCCCGCAGTGTAGACGAGCCCAGGGACTCCAGCAGTTGGTTCAGTTCATCATTGTTCGACAAGTCTTTCGTTGTGACCGGTGTAGTGTTGTGAGACTCAGAAGGTTGAGACACTTTTTGAAGGGATTTGATAGCTTTTTCTAGCAATTTTCGTTGTGCTAATTTTAAATTGAGGCTTTCAATGTCCGACTTATCCAGGGCCAGAAGTTCGCTTGAGTTAGTGAATTCTTCTTTAGTCATCTTATTAATAGAACTATCTGTAACGCCTTGCTTTCTAAGCCAAGCCTCGAAAGTTTCTTTCTCCGCCATACTCAAACTAACCCGAGCCGAACTTATCTGTCCGTACGCGCCGGCTGCAGCCATGGGACTGACTTCTCTGTCCCATAGAAAGATGAGTGCGCAAGCATGCTCATTACGCACATGCATGCTTGCGCGGTAGAGTGCTGTCTCCCGGTAGAGCACCTGTCTGTCCAAGGCCTGTCGGAGTTAAACTTAAATAATATAGATTATTACCCCGATATTACCTGTAAATTACTCTGTGGTTGGGATGAAAGGTAATAACCCTGGAGACAACACTGGAACCCAAAAGGGCACCTGTTGTGAGATCATTCCCCACTTTGTGGCAGGACATCAAACACTTATGTAAGCATGTGTATTTCAGGTCACCTATGAATAGTGAAACTGGTATTTCTAGTAACACAACTTACACATTATCACTGCATGCACCTGGGGTTAAGGGCACAAATTAAATGTGCCCCAAGGCACATGTGTGCTCAATGTATGCCCCCAGGGGTAAGGGCACAAGACAATCTGAGCCCCCAGGAGTGAGGGCACAAGATAACCTGTGCCCTCAGGAGTAAAGGCACAAGATAACCTGTGCCCTCAGAGGTAAAGGCACAAGATAATCTGAGCCCCCAGGAGTAAGGGCACAAGATAACCTGTGCCCTCAGGAGTAAGGGTACAAGACAATGTGTGCCCCCAGCGGTAATTGCTCAAGTAAACGTGTGTCCTCAGAAGTAAGTGTACAAGTACATTCTGCGGAGTACTGGCACAGAACATGACAGATAGCAACAAGATTTATTTTGGCAGATGAAATGTTTAATTTTCTTGATTCATTCTTAACAAACAATGGGTTGGACATAACATTATGGTACAATCTTCTGTGACTACAAAATGCTTCAGTATTCTTTTCATAAATATTTCATATGTTCTTGTACATTACGTTCTATTATGAACCATCCTCAACAAAACACGAACTCATTCAAATCAGACTAGAGCTTGATATTGCTACACAGAGAGCTGACGACACCACAACACAGGTCACAGCAGAACGATATTCCGTGACCAACCAACAAATTACTCACAAGAATTCAACAAAAGAAAGCTGTCATAAAGCTGACATCACAAGCTTTATTAGTTTTAAATTGCCAACTTCCATTCCAGACTATGGTTTTAAACATTTTTTACCAAGTCCTCAATTCAACTTTGAAAACTAAACATTGAAAATTCAAGGTCTTATAGACAAGTGAGATCAGAGGGAAGTGGAATGTAAGCAAAAATATGTCTCTTCTGTTTCAAATGTCAGACATGTCCATATCAAGATCAATCATTGAGAATCAGATTATTGTTCCTAACGTGCCATGTCAACCTTGTCAAGGCAGTGTAAGATTCATGATCTGGTAAGGGACACTTTGGATTGTTCTGATGAAAGGTCATTCTTAATGTCTGTGTAACAATAGCAAGCTCTAAGATTGGATTTGAATGAGATTGAACAAGACATAACAATGTTCACAATTTGAAGAATGGTGATGGGACATCTATGTCTGTGACTTCATCTTTTTAACATGAGTGACCAGTCCCTTCCCCAACACTTGAAAGTCTGCAATGATGGCATCCATGTTCACTTTGAGAAGAACGTCTTCAGCGTTGGAGGCACTGCTGTCCACGATGCAGCCCCCAACATCCAATACCTGCCAAAGAAACATTACTTTTGGTTTTTAACATGCTGACATAGTTAGTTTTTCAACAGCTTCTGTGTTGAAATAAATATCCATCAGTCCTAGGGTCACACTTCTGTATATTTTAGGCTTTATGTCTTTCTTCAGCTTCAGGAGTGAGTGAGTTTAATTTTACTCCACTTTTAGCAATGTTCCAGCAATATCATGACAGGGGACACTAGAAATGGGCTTCACACATTGTACCTATGTGGGGAATCAAACCAGGGTATTTGGCGTGACGAGCGAACGCTTCAACCACTAGGCAACTTCAGGAAGTTGAGTGAAGGTAACATGGAAGGTATCATGGAACCTCAGCTTCCTGTAGGGGGAAAGCCCAAAGTGCAGATGCTGATCTCACACATTCAACACTTTGGTGAAATCTTTAACCACATGTATCTTGCTGACTAATCTAGAAACATCGTCTTGGCAAAACCAAAATGTGAACACATGGTGAAAGATATCTTGCAAACTCTGCACTACGAACTGTGACCCCTTAGAGTTAGTGAGTATGGTTTTAAGCCGCTTTTAGCAAAATTCCAGCAATATCACGGTTGGAGACACCAGAAATGGGATTCACACATTGTACCCATGTGGCGAATCAAACCAGGGTATTTGGCATGACGGGCAAACGCCTTAACCACTAGGATACCCACCCGTCCTGTGACCCCTTAGACGACTGGGAGGTTAAAATATACATAAAGTGAAAAGAGACGATGTGTACACAGCCTTTCAACAGTTGTTATTTAGCTTTTATTTGTTACATTTTTGTTGTGTTCAATCAAAGGTTGAGTAAATGAGACATAATATAATTTATGGGATTTGCCAACCTTAAAAGGTCTTGTTTCCTTGGCTTTTGGCTTCCACACAACACCAATAGTAGCGCCGCCATACTTGTCATGGAAGAACAGTGCCAGGTCACCAAAGGCCCCCTGCAAAACATAATAAATAGTTGCATCAAACACCTACAGTTTAAAATTCTTCTAACACTGATTCAGTTTCAGTATAAAGGAATTATGGTGGTGTGTATATTTTCTGATGCTTATACATGTATATTCCTGGAAATTTTAATGATTTTCAAGAGTCAAATAATGAAGGACATTTTAAGCACAGTAAGATTTAGTAGCCAATACTAAGGACAGACCAAGTGAAGAGTGCATTTATAAATTGCAATGGTTTCTGGAAAGTTCCACTATTACATTGTTCTCTACATGTCCACTGCATACATGATGGAATCTTACCTTTATGGTAGACCCATACAAATCATAGTAATCTTACCCTCAGTTCCTCCAGGTAGAACTGTACAGGGTTGCAGAAATCTTACTCTCAGTTCCTCCAGGTAGAACTGTACTGGATTGCAGTAATCTTACTCTCAGTTCCTCCAGGTAGAACGGTACTGGGTTGCAGTAATCTTACCCTCAGTTCCTCCAGGTAGAACTATACTGGGTTGCAGTAATCTTACCCTCAGTTCCTCCAGGTAGAACTGTACTGGATTGCAGTAATCTTACCCTCAGTTCCTCCAGGTAGAACTGTACTGGATTGCAGTAATCTTACCCTCAGTTCCTCCAGGTAGAACTGTACTGGATTGCAGTAATCTTACCCTCAGTTCCTCCAGGTAGAACTGTACTGGATTGCAGTAATCTTACCCTCAGTTCCTCCAGGTAGAACTGTACTGGATTGCAGTAATCTTACCCTCAGTTCCTCCAGGTAGAACTGTACTGGATTGCAGTAATCTTACCCTCAGTTCCTCCAGGTAGAACTGTACTGGGTTGTAGAAATCTTACCCTCAGTTCCTCCAGGTAGAACTGTACTGGGTTGCAGTAATCTTACCCTCAGTTCCTCCAGGTAGAACTGTACTGGGTTGCAGTAATCTTACCCTCAGTTCCTCCAGGTAGAACTGTACTGGATTGCAGTAATCTTACCCTCAGTTCCTCCAGGTAGAACTGTACTGGGTTGCAGTAATCTTACCCTCAGTTCCTCCAGGTAGAACTGTACTGGATTGCAGTAATCTTACCCTCAGTTCCTCCAGGTAGAACTGTACTGGATTGCAGTAATCTTACCCTCAGTTCCTCCAGGTAGAACTGTACTGGGTTGCAGTAATCTTACCCTCAGTTCCTCCAGGTAGAACTGTACTGGAGTTGCAGTAATCTTACTCTCAGTTCCTCCAGGTAGAACTGTACTGGATTGCAGTAATCTTACCTCAGTTCCTCCAGGTAGAACTGTACTGGGTTGCAGAAATCTTACCCCTCAGTTCCTCCAGGTAGAACTGTACTGGGTTGCAGTAATCTTACTCCTCAGTTCCTCCAGGTAGAACTGTACTGGATTGCAGTAATCTTACCCTCAGTTCCTCCAGGTAGAACTGTACTGGATTGCAGTAATCTTACCCTCAGTTCCTCCAGGTAGAACTGTACTGGATTGCAGTAATCTTACCCTCAGTTCCTCCAGGTAGAACTGTACTGGATTGCAGTAATCTTACCCTCAGTTCCTCCAGGTAGAACTGTACTGGGTTGCAGTAATCTTACCCTCAGTTCCTCCAGGTAGAACTGTACTGGGTTGCAGTAATCTTACTCTCAGTTCCTCCAGGTAGAACTGTACTGGGTTGCAGTAATCTTACCCTCAGTTCCTCCAGGTAGAACTGTACTGGGTTGCAGTAATCTTACCCTCAGTTCCTCCAGGTAGAACTGTACTGGGTTGCAGTAATCTTACTCTCAGTTCCTCCAGGTAGAACTGTACTGGGTTGCAGTAATCTTACCCTCAGTTCCTCCAGGTAGAACTGTACTGGGTTGCAGTAATCTTACCCTCAGTTCCTCCAGGTAGAACTGTACTGGGTTGCAGTAATCTTACCCTCAGTTCCTCCAGGTAGAACTGTACTGGATTGCAGTAATCTTACTCTCAGTTCCTCCAGGTAGAACTGTACTGGGTTGCAGTAATCTTACCCTCAGTTCCTCCAGGTAGAACTGTACTGGGTTGCAGTAATCTTACTCTCTGTTCCTCCAGGTAGAACTGTACTGGGTTGCAGTAATCTTACCCTCAGTTCCTCCAGGTAGAACCATATTTGATTGTAGAAATCTTACCCTCAGTTCCTCCAGGTTGAACTGAACCGGATTGCAGTAATCTTACTCTCAGTTTTCCTAAAGGTAGAATTGTACTAGGTTGTAGTAATCTTACCCTCAGTTCCTCCAGGTAGAACTGTACTGGGTCGTAGTCCACAACTGGCATCAATCTCTTCCAAGTATTCTCAGACTCTCTTGTGGGAATCTTTGTTGCCATGGCAATATCCACTGCCTGGTGCTGTCTGGGTAAATGCTTGGTCTTCAGGTAGATTACAAGGTCAAACGCATCTAGTGGTGGTCGGAAGATTGTCTGAAAACAAAAACAACACTTACCGGTAATCACAAATAGGCAATAGAGGTGTTCATTCAAGGTGTGAGTTTTGATTACACATAGCTAACAACTCATTCACCTCTCACAACTCCACTATGAATACAACCACTATCATCTTCAACAATTGACGTGTAAGATCGGAGACAAAGAGCCAATCAGGCTCTCCGACTTGGATGATGCATGTCATCACATCTCATGTTACCTTCACTCAACTTCCCGAGGTTGCCTAGTGGTTAAAGCGTTCGCTCGTCACGCCAAATACCCGGGTTCGAATCCCCACATGGGTACAATGTGTTAAGCCCATTTCTTGTGTTCGCCCGCGTAATGTTGCTGGAATATTGCTAAAAGCGGCATAAAACCAAACTCAGTCAGTCAGTCATCACATCTCAGTTAAATACATCAATGCTCATGCTGTCCATCACTGGACTGTCTGGTCCAGGAGGAACTATCTATATGCAGTCATCATGTAGATGGAATATTGCTGAGTGCTGTAAACACAACAAAAATATTGATCATTAACATCTTTGTGATAGAAATGTACCTTGAAGTCGGCGTTGATGTAGTCGTCCTGCAGCTGCTGCTGCAACACCTGCAGCGACTGCTGAGCCAGCAACACCAGCCTCTGAAGTATCGGCACTGTTGGGCGTTCCCTCGTCCAGTGCCCAATCAATCGGTCTTGTGGCGTACAAATACACATCAAGGGGAGACTACTTCTGTCCTCAGCAAACTTCTTTTGAATGTCAGAGATGTCCTCCTCTAAAACAGGGAGTCATCACACATGGAACAAATTATATCACAATCAGGACACCGGTTATTATCTTTCCATTTCTGTAAACTTCGAGAATGGCAAAGGCATGCTATGTAACAGTTAAACACTTAGCCATGGATGTTAAACAACTCACTGGAGAACTCTTTGTTCAGGTTGATGATAAGTGGTAGGGTCTTCCAGTCAAACGTTGACATGATACTCAAGAAACGGAGGAAACCAACCATTGGTGATCTGTAAACAGCAAGTGTAAACTAATCAATGCTAGTAAAACTGTAATACAACCATTTCTAGTTACTGATGATTTCAACAGCAATGTATATTATTACAATAATTTCAACTTCAACAAGAAGACATGGTCATCAATATCCCCTGCTATATAGTGTCCTGTTTCTATTTGGTTCCAGTTTTTTAACTTCACCACGGTATTCATGTCCTGAAAACACATACCACATTTGGTTTCGCTATCAATAATGGTTTTTGAGAAAATCTGTCCCCATTGGGGATACCGTGCACTAAGTCAAGAAACGCATGACAAGGGCCATAACTCTGTAACGAATTGTAATGCAGTTTCAGTTTCTGAACTCCATCAAGGCATTCATGTGCTGAAAACACATACCACATTTGGTTTCCCTATCTATAACGGTTTCTGAGAAAATCTGTCCCCATCATCTCGTACAGATGGACGGAAGGAAGGATGGATGGACGGACGGAGCTCAAACCTCAATTTAAACAAGCATTGTCACTAAGGTGACATAATCCCCCGCCGCAAATTAACAAATCAAACTTATAAAGTAATGAAAGTTTAAGATGAAGGTAAATGTCAACAAAAACGTGACCAGTCAACCTCTCTTGATATCTGGCTCTTTAGTTGTTCAAACAAACACATATTTTCAAGACTGACTTTGACCTTGACATGAATGTCATAGAGTATGAAATATGCAAAAATAGTACTAAAGAAATTGCTTTTTGAAAAACATTCAAGGGAAGTCTTGAAAGTCTATGAAGAAAGTCCAGTGAACCGTTCTTGAAACATCTTGCTGACAATTCAGGTTAACATGCTGAAATCTTCAAAATGTCTCTGTGACCCTAATAATAAAGTGAAGGTCACCAAAATCAAATGGGCCCTGCGCCTTCCCTGGATGAAGCTTGGTGTCAAATATGAAGAAACTCCAGGGAATGGTTCTGGAGGTATCTCGCTGACAAGCATAACATGCATGTTAATATGCTGAAATCTTCAAAGTGTCTCTGTGACCTTGAAAATTAAGTGAATGTCACCAAAATTGACTGGGCACTGTGCCTTCCCTAGATAAAGCTTGGTGTTGAATATAAAGAAAATCCAGTGAACGGTTCTTGAGATAGCTTAACATGCAGGTAAAACGTTAAAGTCCCCTTGTGACCTTGAAATGAAGGTCAAGCTAACCAAACCTGACTTGGGCCTTTCTTATACTGTGATGAAGCTAGATACCAAATATGAAAAGAATCTAGTCAACCGTTCTTAAGATATTCCAATTCGTACGGACGGACGGACGGACGGAGCCTAATACTAAATCCCCCGCTTCATGCTAAACGCACGGCGGTGGATAATATATTCCTCAAACAGTGTTTGTGAAAACTGGTAGTGGAATCTCTACCTTAATATCTTAAAATCATGGATCAAGATGTGGCACATCACCTACCCTGGAGCAGTATATGGGGCAGGACTGATGTAGCAGTGTGCCACCACCAGCTCTATTGCCTCCTCTGCAATGTAGTCCAGCATCATGTGGCTGGCGATCCACCTCTTGACCAGCCTCACAGCTCCACTGAAGGTATTGTTCTGTTGTTGTATCCTGAACAAGAGAATATTCACATACAATCATTAAGTTTTCCACTCAATACCAATCTTAAAGTAAACTTACTTCAGGAGCAGTTTTAAGACATATATAAAAGAAATATGTCCCCTAACAATCATATGTGAGTTAATCATCATGAAAACGACATGACAAGTACTTGACAAGTTTGTTTATTGCTTGCACCACCATCATTAAAGACAGTAATAAGGATATTCAAGTCTGGACCATGAGCTCCCAGTTCCAGTGATAAATCTAATAAACACTGGGGTAAATCTGCCTGTTTACATATTCAACATTACAATTGGAGAGCAAAGATACAAAACAGTGACTAGAAACTGAGTGACAAATGAGCATACCCATGTAGTGTGCTGGTCAGTTTGGGGCAGGCACTGTACTCTCTTTGAAGTCTCTGAGATTCTTCGGTGTCATGTGACTGTGTTGTTCCTTCCGGACTGGTGTACATTTTGGCCAAGGTAATCTCACGCATGTTGCCAATCTTCAGCCTGAACACATACCCATCCTGCAAGGATATCGAGAGTCACTGATGATCCTACACATGGAAATGTTAGAACACCTTATCTTCAGCCTGAACACATACCCATCCTGCAAGGATATCGAGAGTCATTGATGATCCTACACATGGAAATGTTGGAACACCTTATCTTGACCCTGAACACATACCCATCCTGCAAGGATATCGAGAGACTCATTTATGATCCTACACATGGAAATAATGGAACACCTTATCAGAAGACAACTGGTATTTCCATCAGGGTGTAATAGTGGTGTTCTAGATAATGAAACTCAATGACATCAATAATGGGCACAATCAGCAGTTTGGTTGATTTTTTTATGCCAGATATTACGACAGTATGACAGTTGCCTGTTTGGTTTGTTTCTTGTTTAACGTCGCATTTAGCAATATTCCAAATAAGTTGCGGGGTCTGTAATTAATCAAGTCTAGACCAGATAATCCAGTGATCAACAGCATGAGCATCTATCTATCTACACATTTAGGATACGATGACATGTGTCAACCAAGTCAACCAGAATGACCACCTCATCCTATTAGTCGCTTCTTACGACAAGCATGGGTTGCTGAAGATCAATTCTAACCCGGATCTTCACGGGTCGACAGCTGCCTGTACTGAACGTAGTCTGATCCAGACAATCCAGTGATGAATACTGACAACAATCCATGTTGTTTTGAGTACAATAAAGCACAATCAACCAAGTCACAGACCAGCTCTAACAACCAATCATATTTTACCCAATCCTGGAAGAAAACCCAAGGTCAGAGTTATCACCAACACTAAACACGCTGGTAATAAGAATAATATGTTGATTGAATTACTAAATCTTAAACCTGGAAATTAAAACAAACAGCTGATATAATAACTATTCCTACGTGTTGGCATGACAAACATAATCCTGGGATGTTGCCATTGATTTGATTCAAAGAAGATGGAAGCACACAGACCTTCAGAACATCCAGATGGGCAGGAGCAACCTTGACAAAGAATGAAGGATCCTTCCTCTTCAGTGCCTGTGACAGCTGGAGGAAGAAGGCTGCCTTCAGTCGGCGCATCGCCTCCAGGTCGTCGGGCCACTTGCCGCTCCCCTCCAGCTTGCACATTACTGAAGCAGACATTGGAACATTACAGGAACTGCACAACACTGAAGCCAAAGTGGAAATTTCACGATGTCTGTACCTTACAGACATTGCAAGAACTGTACAATGGGAATGGGACATGGGAATATCACAAGGTGTGTACCATACATCAGCAGGAACAGGACTCACCAGTCATTGTGGGCACATAGAAAGGGGCAGGTTTGTCAGGGTGCGGGAGAAACTCGGATCCTGTTGATGCATTTGTTGTCTGAATGTTAGCTGGAATTGCAGGCATTGCTGGAAACACCTGAAACACATGCAAAATACCAGAGCCATATTATTCAGCTTCAAGTTTTCTTTACATGCATTAATGCATAAGCATATACCTTTGATATCTACTCCTAAATTAAGGACCTGTAGCCTATTGTAAGTGGAAGGATGTGATGTTTCATTAATGAAATTAAAATATAATTGACCCTTGCCTTGCCATTTTCCAAAAAGGTACGTCCCCCAGAGGAAATGAATGTACAACCAAAACAAATCACAAACATCAGAAATTTCATCAAAATTTATCCATAAATTAACCTAACATTTTCTGACAGAAGCTGACACTATAGAACCTTGCATAAACCAGTCCTGTACCTGACTGCTGCTGTCACCCCAACCCACCTCTGCAAACCTGAAGACCGGTGACACTCCCTGCACTGACTTCACGCTGAGCGGCAGCCCATCCAGCCGATGGAGGAGTTTACTCAACTGGTCCAATGATTGTACAATGGCCATATGTTCTTCCTCGCCTGTGCCATACACGGAGTTGTCTCCCTTTGGTTTCGGCAGGTGCAGTAGGGAATCCAGATGGTGACTCAGGAAATGAACATTGCATGATGGGATATCTGCATGTCTGAATAGAAGGAGTGTTACATATTAAATGCTATGACATTGAATATGACAGATGCAGTAGAATGTATGGCCATTGGTTGACAGATACCCCAGATGTCATGCATGACACCAGTGTGATGATGTGGAGTGGTTGTATGCAGCTAGAGCTGGTGAGAAAGAGATTGATACTTGGATCTATCGTTGATGGGAAGAATGTTTCACAATTTTAACTTTTGTGATGACATATAGTTTAAGTCTACTCACACAATACACAAAGTTAGGTCTTATTGAGGTCTGCTTTTAAATTATGTTCAGGACACTATTTTTTAGTTATCAATGAAAAAATACCAGTGATGTGAAAAATGTTTCAGACTTTCTGGCATTTTAGCTCAGAGTTACTTCTCTGATATGTATTGATAATCAATATAATTTAGTTAATGATTATTAATCTCTATGATCTATACTGACAGCAAGCCCTATCTCTAGCAGTCATCAAAGTTCCAGCTGTCGTACCTGCCCATATATAACTGACTTTGGACCAGACAGTCCCATACACAATATCCACATCATTGCTGCAGTCAGTCAAGACATCTAGTCTCCTCACCAAATCCATTTCAGTTTTTCACATTTTTGGTATATTCACAGGGTTTTACCTGACAAACATGGACGTCCCGACGGCCCCCAATTATTAATTCTAAGGATCCTTTCAGACAATATGAGGGTCTTGTGAAGTAACAGTGGGAAGTGAATTTTTTTTCTGCATCCATTCTCTATAGTTGTGTGTACTGGACACACATTTGAGCATCATGTATAACCCTGTATTTGTATAATGCCAGCGTCAGCTACATCATATCAGCTTTATGGTAGGTAGCCTGTAAGTAATAGAGCGTTGATCTCTTACAGGATGTTTTGTTGGATAAATAACTGACGTACAGATTTTGGTTTGGAATCCTAGATACATCTCTGTAATAGGCTAAAATGCACACAAGGCTAAGATACCTGTTGAGGATGTGTTTGATGACTTTGGAGCAGACGTGTCTTCTCTTGCTGATAAGTGAGGATGTCATCCACACAACTGCCTCACAGATACTGGAGTCCTGGAACCGCCGGAGTTCCGACTTCTCTGCCCACAGCTCCCGGAACTCTCGCGCCTGAAACAAATGATATAGTCACTGAGACTCAGATCAACCAATGCTAAACTTTATGTTCATATAATCTTGACAAAACAAAAAACAGCCATTACTCTTATATTTTCACAGATGATTTGTGTATTAAGTGGTAGGTAGTTCAACATATTTTTCACTAGGCCATAGAAACTTATTAGTTTCATATTGAACAATGCATGCAATAATATTCAAGCTATATGAAGGCAGCTGGTAAATAATCAAAGTCTGGACCAGACAATCCTCTGATTGATATTGTGATCAGTGATCCAAGCTGCTGGGGTACAATGACATGTAATCAGCCATGTCATCAAATGTGGCCACCTGGCTGTGTACAGTTCCGGGGGTTTATGGATGTGTGAGTGTATGTTTTCATTATCATAGATATAGACATGGATGGACTCTGACCTCTGCTGCCTGAGCAGGTGGCCCTTTGTTGATGATGCTGTTTGCCGTCTCTGGGTTCAGTAACAAACCAAACATCAAGCTTCCCACATTCTCTGGTCCTGGGGCTTTCTCTGTGATGCTCCACTGTAGAAAATTATGCAAACACTCAATTTAACTTCACTTCAAGAATCGTTTTTAAAATGTTATATATAAATCATAAACATATTGACTGAAGACACCAGGTGCACCTACCTGTGGGCAAGCTGTGAGTTGGGGCTGCACCAGGTGAATCCTGTTGCCCAGGGCCTTCTCCATCAGCTTCAAGAGGGCTGGCACACATGTGTGGACGTAATGACCACCATGGTCCATCAGGCTGTCCTCCAGCTGCAGTTTGGGCACTGATCTCCTTACATCTTCCATCTCCGAGATACTTGAACAATTGAAACAATTTACATATTGTAGAGTTATCACTGTCAATTCAGTCACTATGTTTTCAGCAATATCGTCACACAAAAACATGCCAGAGGACATACAGAAAAGAGGATATAAGGAGGATTCAGTCCTATCTTGCACTCCATGTACAATGTGAATGATCCCCCTACCCCTAAAATTTATGCACAAAGTAAGTGACCCCCTGCATGATGTCATGTACAAAATAAATTATGCCCCCCCTCATCCCTTCCCTTCATTTTTAAGCATAATCTTTTTAGATTTCTATGTATTAAAATTGCTGACCCCACCTAGTGCATGTGTACAAACTGATGACAAACACACACACACACCACCTCCCTAGAACAAAATGGATGACCCCCCACCCCTTAAAATCATCATCATCATCATCATCATCATCATCATCAAGTTTTAAGCTGTTGAACCAACATGAATGGTATTATTAGCAGATGAAAGTTTATGAAGTTTCGGCTTCATTTGTCCAGTGTTTTCTAAGATGTTGACAGGGAAGCCAGACAGTTCAATGCTCACTTGACACTCAAAGCTGAAGTACACCTCATATTGCTAGTTCACAGAAATACACAAGATGTGTCGATGGTGTTGTAAACTTACTGAAAACACAGGTCAAATTTCTGAATGAAAGGTACAGGTTTGAGTAGAAGTGTCTCAAAGGTGTTGGCCTCCGTGCCCTCTAAACACTTGATGGCTAGGTCAGCCTCATGCCGCACCTGTGAACATACAACACATACATTACCTGAATGTAACTCACATCAGAATCACTTACAACAATATGTTGCTACCCACGAGGTTCAAGATCAAATTTTGGTATTCTTCCCCGATGCCACGGGGAATATTTTTGGAGTATTTTTGTTCCTTGTGTGAATGTTATCCACATATTCCCATATTGTTGCCAGCCCTTGTATATATATAGTATGACCAGAATTTATTGAGAATTTTAGGAATATGTTTAATTGGATTTCTAGTATAAACAACCTAGACCAGCTATCAAGTGCTTGGTTTCATTCAAGAGAGACAACTCCGTTAATTCTTTTTCATTAGTTTGTGAAGAGTTATCCCCCTTTGTTTACTTGCTAGCAGACGACATTTTCAGTGGTACTCAGTATGGATGATTTAGAGAAGAGGAAGTTGATTTTAGAGTATTATAACAGGGACATCATAGCAGCTAAAGTGATTTCAAGTAGAACAGGCATCCCTTTGTCCACTGTTTATCGTGTTTTGAAAAATATTGCAAATGGATATGGCATTCAGCAGAGGTAGGGCCCAGAAAATTATCTGTCGGTGACAGGAGGCGGCTTGGTATTCGTGTTTCTAAAACAAAGCGATGGAGTTTAGAAAACTTAAGGCCGGATATGATTGATAGAGGAACTGTGGCTGTCTGTAAGGAGACAATTAGAACTGAGCTGCATGCAATGGGTTGGCAGAAAAGTCGAGGAATTCCATCACCGATCATGAAACCTGAACAAAAGGAGCGAAGGTTGAACTGGTGCTTACAGCATAGAAATTTTAACTGGGACAATGTGATTTTCTCAGATGAAAGTTCTGTATGGCTGTTTCCTAATACACTGAAATTCTGGACCAAACAAACCCAAAGTACAGTCTGAAATTTAACGTGTGGGGTGGCATATCTGTGTATTTAAAGGGAATATGAACAGTGAGCGGTACACAGATATTCTCGAGGGACATTTACTTCCATCTGCTCACGTGCTCTATGGAAATGTTTGGATTTGCCAGCAGGACAACGACCCAAAACATCGTTCAAAGCATTCACAGGCCTGGTTTCTGACCCAATATATGACATTATTAGATTGGCCAAGCTATAGCCCCGACCTAAATCCAATAGAAAATGTTTGGGGACTTATGAAGGAAAGTGTCAATAAGAAAAATCTGACAAATATTGCTGAAATGAAAGAAGAGGTGGTCCGATATTGGGACAGCATGGACCACAACTTTCTAACTTCTTTGATCAGTAGTATGCCACACTGCATTGAAGCCTGCATTGCTGCCCATGGTGACTTGACAAAATACTAACTGTTCACCTGTCTTTGAATCTGGAGTTATGTTCTGCTAATATTCACATTAATACGTGAGTAATGAGTGAAAAAATTAAAAAGTTTTACAATCTTTAAATTCTCAATAATTTGTGGTTGTACTGTATATTGTGGCATAAGTCAAATCCTACTTCACCAGTCACTAGCCCCCCAGTAGATGTTGGGGCACACATCACATTTGACATCAACATCACTGGTCCCTAGCCCTCGTCTTAATAATGTTAATATCTCTAAACCATCATCAGTGCTCACCCTTCTGTATACAGCATGTGTGAGGTTGCAGCAGAGGTTGAGGTAGCCACTGGGGTCCACAAAGACGATGTCGCTATGTTCCTGGAAGGTCTGCAGGGATGGACGTTGTGGGTCTGAGTCATCTCTACACATAGATAGAGGGCTGATCACCCAGTCTGTGCTGGCTGAAACCAAGGTACAGAGCTCATCAGCAAACAAGGTCAATTAAGGAGAATTTGTATCTTCCCATGTAATATGGGGTGGTGGGGTAGCTAATAGTTAAAGCATCCATGCTGAAGACCCGGGTTCGATTCCCTACATGGGTCCTGTGGTGCAATCCTTCAGTCTGTGTCAATGTATGTAATTCAACAACGTTATAACATGCAAAATGGATGAAAAATCCAAAGTTAGTTTTGACATGGACTAGAGTATGAGGATGAAGGTGTTCTAACAGTAAGTTGTACTGGTCATACCAAGACTAAGAGGATGTTCTAACACTATACATCTGTGTAACGTACCAAGACTAAGAGGATGTTCTAACACTATACAGCTGTGTAACGTACCGAGACTAAGAGGATGTTCTAACACCATACAGCTGTGTAACGTACCGAGACTAATGAGGATGTTCTAACACTATACAGCTGTGTAATGTACCGAGACTAATGAGGATGTTCTAACACTATACAGCTGTGTAACGTACCGAGACTAATGAGGATGTTCTAACACCATACAGCTGTGTAACGTACCGAGACTAAGAGGATGTTCTAACACTATGCAGCTGTGTAACGTACCGAGACTAATGAGGATGTTCTAACACTATACAGCTGTGTAAGCATGCGGAGACTAATGAGGGATGTTCTAACACTATACAGCTGTGTAACGTACCGAGACTAATGAGGATGTTCTAACACCATACAGCTGTGTAACGTACCGAGACTAAGAGGATGTTCTAACACCATACAGCTGTGTAACGTACCGAGACTAAGAGGATGTTCTAACACCATACAGCTGTGTAACGTAGCGAGACTAATGAGGATGTTCTAACACCATACAGCTGTGTAACGTACCGAGACTAAGAGGATGTTCTAACACCATACAGGTGTGTAACGTACCGAAACTAAGAGGATGTTCTAACACTATACAGCTGTGTAACGTACCAAGACTAATGAGGATGTTCTAACACTATACAGCTGTGTAACGCATGCGGGGACTAATGAGGGATGTTCTTACACTATACAGCTGTGTAACGCATCGCGAGACTAATGAGGATGTTCTAACACTATACAGCTGTGTAACGCACGTGCAGACTAATGAGGATGTTCTAACACCATACAGCTGTGTAACGTACCGAGACTAAGAGGATGTTCTAACACTATACAGCTGTGTAACGTACCAAGACTAATGAGGATGTTCTAACACCATACAGCTGTGTAACGTACCGAGACTAAGAGGATGTTCTAACACCATACAGCTGTGTAACGTACCGAGACTAATGAGGATGTTCTAACACTATACAGCTGTGTAACGTACCGAGACTAATGAGGATGTTCTAACACTATACAGCTGTGTAACGTACCGAGACTAATGAGGATGTTCTAACACCATACAGCTGTGTAACGTACCGAGACTAAGAGGATGTTCTAACACCATACAGCTGTGTAACGCATCGCGAGACTAAGAGGATGTTCTAACACTATACAGCTGTGTAACGCATACCGAGACTAATGAGGATGTTCAAACACTATACAGCTGTGTAACGCGTGCGAGACTAAATGAGGATGTTCTAACACTATACAGCTGTGTAACGCATCGAGACTAATGAGGATGTTCTAACACCATACAGCTGTGTAACGCATCGGTGAGACTAAGAGGATGTTCTAACACCATACAGCTGTGTAAAGTAACGAGACTAATGAGGATGTTCTAACACCATACAGCTGTGTAACGTACCGAGACTAATGAGGATGTTCTAACACTGTACAGCTGTGTAACGTACCGAGACTAATGAGGATGTTCTAACACTATACAGCTGTGTAACGCATCGGAGACTCAATGAGGATGTTCTAACACTATACAGCTGTGTAACGCATCGACTAATGAGGATGTTCTAACACTATACAGCTGTGTAACGTGCAGACTAATGAGGATGTTCTAACACTATGCAGCTGTGTAACGCATCGGAGACCAATGAGGATGTTCTAACACTATACAGCTGTGTAACGCATCGTGCGAGACTAATGAGGATGTTCTAACACTATACAGCTGTAACGCATCGAGACTAATGAGGATGTTCTAACACCATACAGCTGTGTAACGCATCGAGACTAAGAGGATGTTCTAACACCATACAGTTGTGTGCAACGATCGGACTAATGAGGATGTTCTAACACTCATACAGCTGTGTAACGCACGGCGACCAATGAGGATGTTCTAACACTGTACAGCTGTGTAACGCATCGGCAGACTAATGAGGATGTTCTAACACTATACAGCTGTGTAACGCATCGAGACTAATGAGGATGTTCTAACACCATTCAGCTGTAACAGCATCGAAGACTAAAGAGGATGTTCCTAACACCATACAGCTGTGTAACGCATCGGAGACTAAGAGGATGTTCTAACACCATACAGCTGTGTAACGTACCGAGACTAAGAGGATGTTCTAACACCATACAGTTGTGTAACGTACCGAGACTAATGAGGATGTTCTAACACTATGCAGCTGTGTAACGTACCGAGACTAATGAGGATGTTCTAACACTATGCAGCTGTGTAACGTACCGAGACTAATGAGGATGTTCTAACACTATGCAGCTGTGTAACGTACCGAGACTAATGAGGATGTTCTAACACTATACAGCTGTGTAACGTACCGAGACTAATGAGGATGTTCTAACACCATACAGCTGTGTAACGTACCGAGACTAAGAGGATGTTCTAACACCATACAGCTGTGTAAAGTAAACCGAGACTAATGAGGATGTTCTAACACCATACAGCTGTGTAACGTACCGAGACTAATGAGGATGTTCTAACACTGTACAGCTGTGTAACGTACCGAGACTAATGAGGATGTTCTAACACTATACAGCTGTGTAACGCGTCGCGAGACTAATGAGGATGTTCTAACACCATACAGCTGTGTAAACGCATCGACCAATGAGGATGTTCTAACACTATACAGCCGTAACGCATTACCGAGACTAATGAGGATGTTCTAACACTATGCGGCTGTGTAATAGCGCAACGCGAGACTAATGAGGATGTTCTAACACTATACAGCTGTGTAACGTACGAGACTAATGAGGATGTTCTAACACTATACAGCGCTGTGTAACGCATCGGCAGACTAATGAGGATGTTCTAACACCATACAGCCGTGTAAGCGCACGGAGACTAAGAGGATGTTCTAACACCATACAGTTGGTGTGTAACGCATCAGACTAATGAGGATGTTCTAACACTATACAGCTGTGTAACGCATCGGAGACTAATGAGGATGTTCTAACACTGTACAGCTGTGTAGCGCATCGGAGACTAATGAGGATGTTCTAACACTATACAGCTGTGTAACGCATGCCGAGACTAATGAGGATGTTGTTAACACCATTCAGCTGTGTAACGCATGCGAGACTAAGAGGATGTTCTAACACCATACAGCTGTGTAACGTTATTACGAGACTAAGAGGATGTTCCTAACACCATACAGCTGTGTAGCGTGCGAGACTAAGAGGATGTTCTAACACCATACAGTTGTGTAGCGTGCGAGACTAATGAGGATGTTCTAACACTATGCAGCTGTGTAACGAATGCCGAGACTAATGAGGATGTTCTAACACTATGCAGCTGTGTAGCGCATCGAGACTAATGAGGATGTTCTAACACTATGCAGCTGTGTAGCGCATGCGGAGACTAATGAGGATGTTCTAACACTATACAGCTGTGTAGCATTACCGAGACTAATGAGGATGTTCTAACACCATACAGCTGTGTAACGCATCGAGACTAAAGAGGATGTTCTAACACTATGCTGTAGCGTGCGAACTAATGAGTATGTTCTAACACTATACAGCTGTGTAGCCGTGCACGAGACTAATGAGGATGTTCTAACACCATACAGCTGTGTACGCATGCCGGAGACTAATGAGGATGTTCTAACACCATACAGCTGTGTAACGCATGCGAGACTAATGAGGATGTTCTAACACCATACAGCTGTGTAGCGTGCTGAGACTAATGAGGATGTTCTAACACTATACAGCCGTGTAGCGCATCGAGACTAATGAGGATGTTCTAACACCATGCAGCTGTGTAGCGTGCGAAGACTAATGAGGATGTTCTAACACTATGCAGCTGTGTAGCGTGCAAGACTAATGGATGTTCCTAACACCATACAGCTGTGTAACGCATCGCCGAGACTAATGAGGATGTTCTAACACTTTACAGCTGTGTAGCGTGCGTAGAGACTAATGAGGATGTTCTAACACTATACGGCTGTGTAGCGCATGCGAAAGACTAATGAGGATGTTCTAACACTATACAGCTGTGTAACGTATCGAGACTAATGAGGATGTTCTAACACTATACAGCTGTGTAACGTAGCGAGACTAATGAGGATGTTCTAACACTATGCAGCTGTGTAACGTACCGAGACTAATGAGGATGTTCTAACACTATGCAGCTGTGTAACGTACCGAGACTAATGAGGATGTTCTAACACTATACAGCTGTAGTAACGTACCAAGACTAATGACTGAGTTTAGTTTTACGCCGCTTTTAGCAATATTCCAGCAATATCAAGGCAGGGGACACCAAAAATAGGCTTCACACATTGTGCCCATGTGAGGAATCGAACCCGGGTCTTCGGCGTGACGAGCCAACGCTTTAACCACTAGGCTACCCCACCGCCCCCCGAGACTAATGAGGATGTTCTAACACTACACAGCTGTGTAACGTACCGAGACTGACAAGCGTGTTCCTCATCACCTGGTAGCTGCTCATCATCCGGTGCAACTTGCGGCAGTCCAGGAGGTGTGCCACGTACATCGCCATGATGAAACCGCTAAAACATCCATAGCCCTGGAAACAAAGTAATCAACAATTTGGGTCAGCTACATTTGACCTGACAAATTAGGTTAAACTTGGTCAGGGAACCTTGATCAACAGTGTTACGTGACCGTGAAATATCACATGCATAAGTCCTGCAATGGCCAGAGAGATACAGGAAGTGTGATTTGGACAAACACTGGACAGAAGTGTGACAATTTCTAAAACGCTTGCTGTACCAATTTGACAACATTAGTGTGATTCTTGGCATTTGTCAAGTATGGTTTCTACTGGTTCCAACATGATGCCTGATTTGTGAAAGGAGGAGGTTCAGCGACAAATTCTAGACGTCTGTATGCACTGACTTATGTAATGAGGCCTGTTACATATTGTTGCAGCAGAACATTTTTCCAATGCTATCATGTCATGATTGTTAACCTGTCACTCAGGTGATCAAGGACTATTCCTGCCCACAAACCCAATATGGCCACTACATGCAGTGGGGGTGGTGTGGTAGCGAATGGGTAAAGCGTTGGCGTGTCACGACAAAGACCCTGTTCGATTCCCCACATGGGTAGATGTGCGAAGCCCATTTCTGGTGTCCCCCGCCGTGATATTGCTGGAATATTGCTAAAAGTGGTGTAAAACCATACTCACTCAAATGCAGTGAAGTGAATGAGTGAACGTCTTTTGCAGAAACCACAGTCGATAATATTCCTCATCACAGTAGCCCGTTACCATGGGCAAGCAGTGATCAATAATATAGGATGCTGGTAACCTTCTCTAGGCCCAAATCTGCTTCAGCATTTCAAGGCATTTGAGATGAAGGTGAGGTGAGGTGAAATTGGGTTTAACGTCGTGCTTGAGAATATTTCGCTCATATGACAACGTGCATGCGTGTGTATGTGCATGTGCGGCTGCTTGTACTAGCCCAGACTTAAGCTGGTTTTATAGTGCTAGCCCACTGAGATACCACGCCACAGTGAAGCATGAATACCCCACTCAGACACATTATACTGACTCCAAGCCGACCAGTCCTTGTTGTACCCATTAATGCCGAGCGCAAGGCAGGGACCAACAAGTACCATATTTTAACGTCTTTTGGTATGACGCGGTCGGGGATCGAACCTGCGACCTTCCGCTCTCCGGGCAGACGCTCTAACCACTACACCTCTGAGGCGGTCTGAGATGAAGGTACTCATAACACTATAGCAACAGTTAAAAATGAGCGAAGTTGCTGCACACACCTTGTCCAGTTCCCTCTGTCTCAGCCATACTTTGAGCAGCATGATACCCTCCCTTATGCCGAATGTGTTGTCCTGGGCGTGTCGCAAACACTCTGTGTTTGTGTCATACATCATATCCTGCAGAACACTGGTGTTGTACATAGGGGTTGCTGCCAAGTCACTGCCTGCAGAGTGTAAATATATGATGTCACAAGAAAACACAGTCTAAACTATCCAGAAACACATTCCATTTAGTCAAAAAGGGCTGTAAAAATGATGTGAATGGATGTGTGACACTAACTAGTAACACCAACCAACTAGAGACAACAATGACACATTGCTGATCTGGACACAACTACTCCAAGTGATGTAGTCCAGGTTGGAAATATTCTTCTTTAACATACCTCAGGGGCGGTGGGGTAGTCTAGTGGTTAAAGCGTTCACTTGTCACGCCAAAGGCCTGGGTTCGATTCCCAACATGGGTACTGTGTGAGAAACCCATTTCTTGTGTCCCCTGCAGTGATATTGCTGGAATATTTCTAAAAGCGGAGTAAAAGCATATTCACTCACTCACTCACTAACACTATTGATACTTTAGATATATGTAGAACTTCTTCACAGTAATCGACTGAATTGGATGGTGCATGAAAAATAATGCAACCTTCTTTAGCATCGTCTTATTTTTGTCTAATCAGAATGTTTTTCTTCATGAACTATTTAAGGAAGGATAACAATATACGGATGAACAACTTCTTTATTGCTGTGAGAGAGACATTTCAGTGTAGGTTCTAACACTGTTATCAAGCAAGACCGAAACGTCGCTCTCACAGCAATAAAGAAGTTGTTCATCCATATACTATTATCCTTCCTTACTGCTCCAACTTCTAAATGCCTCTCAAAGAAGTTAAAATGAACTATTTAATTCAAACCTAGCACCTTGTAAATACTCCTCATCTAACCTTAAATTAGCTAACAACTATTCAGGTGACTAGGGTGACGATTTCACGAGGCATGCAAATAAGTTAGTTCGATACAAATATGTCGGCTCCAGGTACAGTTGCTGGAATGAGTAATGAGTCATGCCATGAGGTCCTTATCAGCCTTGTCACACATTTTGACCACCTCTAAATGGGCTTTTCTGACTGTTCAGTACTGAGGTTATCCTGCCCCAGAATCACAACAGGCCCATGTTTCACAAAACAATCACAGCACTTAAACAAACAGAACTCCCATAGACTTATGACAGTCATGGCACTAAGAAGCTTTGAGTCAGGGAGACAAACATCTGGACCTAGTCTGCCCTGGGGACTCGCTACAGGGTAGGGCATGACAACACATGGAGGAAACACAGGAGTCATAGGGTCATATTGTCACATATAATCCCAACAGGTTTCTCCACCAACAGGTGATGTGGTATATTTGCATCACCTTCAGTCTCAGCCTCCTCCTCCGTCTGTTGGAACCACGACTTCCTCACATTGCTCTGGCTGATGCTGAAACGGCTCGGTCTGAAGGCGCCAGACGGCAAGCTGATGTGTAGGTTGACTTGTACAGGTTTCCCACTGTCACCTGGAGCAGATGGGCAAATAATGGAAGTGACAAAGTCTGGCCAAGTGTATGGTAACCTAACAATGTAGTCAGAGAGCTGAGAATAGCGGGGAAAAAGAACCTATATAATGCTCTAATACACAAGTATGGAGACTAAACCTGGACAAGTCAGATCTAAGAGGCAAAGACTCTAACTATTTTGAGGTTCAACTCATCACATTCTCTTTACCAAAGAAAAGTCAATGTCTGCATGAGGCTAAAAATCTATCACAACTGGCACTGATGCAAGGGAATTCCTTGAAACCATGCAAAATGTTCTCAGGTATTCCCATGTGACGGAATAGTGCATATCACCACAGTACACATCCATACAACGATATCATGACAACTATTTAATCATTCAATCTGGGCCAGCCAACCAAGTACCTGACAATCTGAAACATGATCCAAACTTGGATGCAATTTTGGACTATAGTATCTGGCAAAGTGTTAAGCCTTAATCTAATTTCAGATTTGATTGCTTCATAAACAACACCGCGGATAAAAAGCATCGTCACATGGATTGTCAATTATCTATACCATGGATCCCAGATGTACAAGTATAATATAGTGAAAAATGACTAGCTTGGGATACTAAGGATGAATTCTGCTGAAGAACCTCTACTGTCTCCTACAGGATATCATGATGTATATGCTGCTTGCTGGACGGTATGCAATCACAGTAAATAGTTTACAATTCTGAATAAGCCATCCGCTACTTATCACACTAAAGCTACCCAGTAACCAACAATGTTTTACCAGTCCAAACACTACCTTACAGGGAGAAGCCCAAGTTTAACATAGACAAACCTACATGTGACTGATCCATGTGAACACAAGAGAACCACTTACCTTTAACATGAATGATCAGTATGGGTTTGAGGTGGTTGCCATGGTGATAGCTATACTTCAGGTCTTGGATAAGCTGACTGGTCTGTAAATGAGTGGCAATGGCTGCCAAGTAGAGGGCTCGTTTCCGCAAATACCGCTGGTTCAGAAAGTCCTTGGCTTGGAGACATTCCTACAACAAATAATACAGAACGCACTCATTATACTCCTCATATTTACACTGGTAACATCTCTATAAGGAGGGGAAAGGCTTTCAGTACAACTTTACAGTATCAGGGAACTAAATCTTATTGACTACTGCCTTGTTCCCTCACATCTTGTTAACACTTTAACTGGGTGTAAGTTGATGTTAAAGCATTAGAGTTAGGGTTAATTGACAAGTTTTGATCCCCATTATAGTGACAGCTAGTGAACATAACATACCATCATAGATGTACATCCACAAAAACTCACGAGCAAATTACATTTAACCTTCTTAGCACTGTATATTCGAGGCTTAGAACCCTTCAGTTAATCCTCATAGTACCAACAGATCTTAGAGGGAGATTGAAAGAAAAAACAAGCAAACCCATATTTTATGTCATCTTAATGCTTTTGTTATTATTTGTCAAGTAACATGTGCAAATGCATTGCAGTATATATGCTTTTTTAGGCTCTTAAACCTGAGTGTCTCACCTTTGGCATTTCCGCTAATACATCAACATGAACATTGGGCTTGATGCAGGTTCCCAGGGCAAAGCTCCCCACACATTTCACACTGCATGGAGCTAAGAAGTTGAAGTACCCTTTGGTTATTTTGGGAACCTGCATGATGGGGACTTTCACCTTGGACTTTTTCAACCACTTTTGATCACTGATCTGCAGGAAGATACAGAGGTATGACAGTTGAGAAAGAATGTCAGCCTTAAACTGATACAATACAGACCAATACAAGGAACTCACACAGTGAGTGAGTGTGTGTGTGTGTGTGTGTGTGTGTGTGTGTGTGTGTGTGTGTGTGTGTGTGTGTGTGTGTGTGTGTGTGTGTGTGTGTGTGTGTGTGTGTGTGTGAGATATATGATGCTTTTTTATGGAGTAACATGTACAAAGTAAGTGACACCCCCCTTCATGTCATGTACAAATTCATTGACCCCCCACCCCAACCCCTTCCCATATTTTCTTATGCATAACTTCTTTTTAGTATTATGAACAAAACTGCTGCCCCCAGTACATATGTACAAAACTCGAACTAACCTGTATAGGTTTCAGATTCTTTTGTATATATTCCTCCTTGGGGTACTTATATAAGCATTTAAATGTCCATTTAAAATCCTACGACAGTTGTAACAATATTTGAATAAAATATTTACAAAACAAAACTACGTTTTTGTCTTGTGAGACCACCCTTACAGGGCCCCTGGCCCCTACAGCCAAGAGCAGGTAACTCTAGACCGTAACCTCGTCACCTCACTTTCCATGCTGAGCGACATCAGACAGAATGTGGGAGGTGGGAGATGATTACCCCAAGGAGGAATATATTCAAAGAATCTGAAACCTATACAGGTTAAGTTCGATTCTTTTTTATATATTCCTCCTTGGGGTACTTATAAGCATAAGACAGACTCCTAAAGACGGAGCTAAGGAGCTGCATTCTGTCTGCAGAAAACACCCGACAAGAAGTGGAATTTCCCAAGCTAATTATAGCAGAAAAAAGCATACTTACCCCGTCAACGGTCCACCGCATAGCCAATCAGGCGGGGCATGAGCCAGGGTCAGGGTCGAACATATGTAAATTGCCCAGCTGAAACCTCGCTAAAGCAAACTAACGAGACACACCCTCCCTCCTTCCCGCAATCTACTCGAAGCCGAAGATAAGGGTCCCATAATAATCCGCCAGAAACGAAATGCCTTAATATGTATATATATTTAGCAAAGCTTCCAAGGCCAGTAAAGTCTAGAGCAGAATGCAAAGACATGGGAATAAAACCATCACCACATAAAACCCGGCCACCAAGGGAATATGTAAACAAGATTTTTAAAAACCCAACACCAGTGTTAAAAAAGGTTGGCATAGAATGGTTCACATACTTTCTCGAAAGCTCAATCGGCTAGAGAGGTGGAACCATGCCCACTGGAGAGAACTGACTGACCGAACCGAGCACGCTCACTGGAGAGTCTGTCAAGTTGGTAATGACGGATGAATGTACTCGGACTGCTCCAAATAGCCGCGGAGCAGATCTCCTCAATGGGCAGGGCTGCAGCGTAAGCTTTCGATGTAGCAACTGCCCTAACCGAATGAGCTTTCAACCCTACAGGCGGGATACGCCCTGTTTGAGTATAGCTCATATGTATGGCAGAGACAAGCCACCGAGAAATGGTTTGCTTTGTCGCCGGAAGACCAGCCTGAACCCCGCCATAACAACAAAACAATTGGTTACCCTTACGGGTACCCCTTGTTCGTTTGATATAAGCCTTAAGTGTCTTACGGACATCTAAGACGTGACACACCAGCGCGAATAACAGGCCCATCTATCCTCATATTGAACGTTTGTCGAATCCCTCCACGCAGCCAGAATTGTGTCTGCAACTGGTGCAGGAATTCCGCTCGCACGGAGGCGATCCCTGACAGCGGCCAGGCCACCCACTGAATCCTGGGATTCGGGTGGGGCGCTCCGTTCTGGGATAGGAGGTCCGGTCGAAAAGGTAATAGAACAGGAGGCTGAGCCAGAAACCTGAGAATTACCGGAAACCAGCGTTGTGCCGACCAAAGGGGTGCCAGAAGCACAAGTAGCCGAGCTGGTTGTGCGGTCAGCTGTGACAGGACCCTGGAAATCAGTGGTATCGGGGGGAACGCCCACAGTACCCTGTCCGTCCAATCGAGCTGAAAGGCATCGTTGGCTAACGCTCCCGGATCCGGAATCCGGGAGCAAAACACAGGAATCTGGTTCGTCACCCCAGACGCAAACAGATCCACCTGGAACGACCCGAACAACTGGGAGATAATCCCGAATATCTCCCCGTCGAAAGCATCCACTCGTGTGGGGCTAGTATACGCCGTGAGAGTGCATCTGCACGGACGTTGTCTACCCCCGGGAGATAAACAGGCAAAACCCGAATGTTGAACTGATCGCACCACAGTAGAAACTGCCACGCCTCCTGAAGGAGCGACGGAGACACTGTGCCGCCTTTGCTTGAGAATGTAAGACATGGCCGCTTGATTGTCCATTTCTAGACGAACCACATGGCCCTGCACCAACACTCGGAAGCACTCGAACACCCTGCGGACTGCTCTCAGTTCTAACACATTGATGTGTAGGCTGACTTCCCGCTCCGACCAGAGGCCGGAGGCTGAGTGCTCGCCCAGGACCCCCAACCTGTGAGGGAGGCGCCTGTCTGAACTGAGAGGGAAGGTGTCGGGTGTCGAGGGGATCCCCTGACAAATTCCCGACGTCCGGCCCACCATCGCAAGTGAGGAATTAACCACTCGGGCGCCAGGAGAATAATCTCGTAGCTCTGCGAGTGGGGACCACAGCTGCGCTTAACGCTTGCTGAACTGGTCGCGATCTCCTCAGACGCCAAGACGCCAAACCACGCCCACTGTCGCCGCCATGTTGCCTAGCAACCGGCCATGTTCGGGCTGACGATTGGGCTTAACTGGAGAAACTGTAACAGTACTCTGACTTTGACGATGGTCCGAGCAAGGGAAACAATCCCTAGCTCCGTGTTGAATCTGGCCCCCAAGAATATCAGATCCTGCGTCGGAACGAGGTCTGATTTCTTGAGGTTGATAATCCAGCCCAGTGACACCAGAGTATCCATCACGCACAGTGTGGAGGCTCTGCTTAACTGAGGACCTAAGGCCCTGAGAAGCCAATCGTCTAGGTACGGGTGACAACACCTGCCCTGAGACCTGGCTAACTGAGCTGGGATTAGCATAAGTTTGGTGAACACCCTTGGCGCCGCGGAGATGCCAAGGGGAGCACGCTGAAACTGGTAGCACGCCCCGCCGAAGGAGAACCGGAGGTACTTCTTGAACTCGGGTGCATTGGAACATGGAGGTATGCGTCTTTGAGATCGATTGACGTAAGCCAATCCCCTGTCTCGACGGAGGAGATCACTGACCTGAGTGTCTCCATCCTGAAAGACGGCACCTCCAGTAACTGGTTCAACCCTCTGAGATTCAGAATGGGTCTGAACCCTCCGTCCTTTTTGGTCACTAGGAAGTAGGTGGAATAAAACCCCTCTCCTTGTTGACCCACAGGAACCACCTCGATGGCTGCCTTGTTCAGTAAGGACTGAACTTCGGCACGGAGCGCGTCCGCCTTGTCGTGGGAGGTCGGCACAGGCGCAGCCGAACCCCGAGAAGGACGGAGGATCTCGGCCCACTGTGGCAAATGGCCATCCCTGAGCGTGGACAGGACCCAGGGATTTGAGGTGGCTGCCTCCCACTCCCCGGAGGAATAGGGACAGCCGGCCGCCGACAGGGACGCGGTGGCAGGAGGCAGTGCACCCCACAGTCGGCAAGTCTCCGCCATGGAGTGGGGGCAACAAGGGCTCTGGGGAAGGAATCAGCGGGAAGCCGGGCTGGCTTCCCCTTGCCCCAAAAGGTTGCTGCAAGGCGCTTTGAGCAGGCTTGCCCTTGCTCTCTCGCCGCCTTCTTCGCTTTGACTGCAAAGGGCAGTCCACTTAGCAACATCCTTCGCCGGGGCAGAAGGATAAGCGGACGCAAGCGGGGAAGGCCGCTGGCGAGGAGCGGAGGGCTGCTCCAACAAAGGCTTTGAGTCTTTGAAGGTAGAGACAGCCTCCGCGGCCTCCCGTACTACCTGCAATGCCCCAGGGAACAGGGAGGATCCCATGGTATAGGGCAATGACAGGAGCTTTGTTGTGTGGCCGGGCTTAATACCGCGCCACAGACAACCACAGGCGGCGCAAGCTCCATGACGGCATTCCATCATCTGGCTGGCACAGCAATCAATGCTATCCCTAGCCAGATGCAGTGTATCGCCCGCGGAGTTGGCGCTACGAAAGCACCGACTCGATGAGTCGGCGCCACAAGCGCTGTGAGCCACCAGCTGTCCCTGCAGTGCAGACAGGTAGGCCGAAAGTGGACTGCTACTTTGAGTTAGGCCGCCGCGACCGCAACATTCCTCGAATGACCGCACGCAGACTTCAGCGCAGTGAATTAGCAGGAAAAGGGGAGGCGCCGCCCTGCCTGGCCGAGGCCAGGGAAGACGAGGACGACCCCTAACGCGGACTGAGGCAAAGACGCGACTCGCCCACCACTGGTGGTTCGAATAGCGCCTCCTCCCCAACTGGTACCTCCTGCCAACGCCGGGCAGATCAAATCTCGAAAGAGAACCAGTCAAGAGAGGATTTACCACCCACCTACCAGTGATGGTAGGATGCGAGGCGCCGCCGGCGCACCTTGGTAGGCGAAAAGCCTCCCCCGGAGCCTAAACTCCGCTGGGTCGAAAGCCTGTGTGGGAACGCCACCTGGGGCAGGGCTTCGCAATTTTTCCCCGCACCTGCCTCAGAGACGAGCCAAAGGAGTACGGCACTCTCCGCCCGACTCTCCTCCCTCCCTCCATCGCCCTCCATGTCCACTCGGCATAATCCTCGCAGCCGCATTTCATACCCTGAGAGACCGCCGAGGATACACCAGAGGCTGAACCCGAAAAGACCATAAAGGTCAAGAGGCGCCAGAAGCAACGAAGTCGCCCAGCCGGGCAGAACTCGCCCCAAGTCGCCGCCGAGGCGCTCGAGAGGAACCTGCCGCGACAGGCCTCCCCGGCAACCCAGACTGGCTGCCAGGCCGAGGGTGTCCTCGAAGCTGGCAGTGCCGAGGCGACCGCCAGTCAGGGCACCAGGCGGCCAGGGCAAACCCTGCATCGCCGGGCGCCAGCCACCTGTGACGGACCTACGCCTCTTGCAGGTCGCCTTTAGGTGCCGAGGGCGCTTATCTCCACGGCCTAAGCCGGGATCAAGCTGCCCAGGGGAGGCGCTGCTCCCCGAGCCTAAGCTCGGGCCGCAGCCAACCCCCCCAGATGCGCCAGATCCACCCCCACGACCGGGCGCTGTGAGCTCCTTACGGAACCCATCCAACGCCAGACAATGAGAGATTTCACTGACGCCATCTGTTCCTGGAATAAAGCGTTAGTGATTCAACGGGCACAACTGGTGCCGACACAACAGGGGGAAGAGACAGGAGCAAGTTGAGGTTTGGTATTAGATGCCTCCTTGGAACCTTTAGCTCTTTTGGGAGCCGGCTCCTCAGATGGGAAGCGGCCCCGAGACCCCTTTTTTTGTGTGAACGCTTGGACGGGGATCCTGTGCCCAGATATCACCCCCTCACCAATCAGATTGCTGTAGAACAGCTGATCCGGCTCGCCGCGGTTCTAATCGCTTGAGGCGTAAAGTGGCACATGCCACACACCCCTCTTCCTCATGGTCAGTTTGGGTGAGGCAACGTAAGCAGACCTCGGTGTGTCCTTGACGGAATGGCCGCGAAGGCACGGCACAGGATTTAAACTGCAACAAGTAAACAACCTGTGCAGCAATCAACCCCATACACACAGACATATATGAAAAACACGATGGGCGCATAATAACTAATGCGACAACGAGCATACAGTTGACAATAACCATAATACGACTGACATAACTACTTAATTTTTATTATCGTGAAGATAGAAAATGCAAGCAGTGGAAACGCCTCTACATGTAACCACATATACGTAAAAATTACTAACCCCACCTGTAACATTGAAAACCACACGGAAACCAATGAACAGTGATGCTAGCGAAGGTACCTGGTCAGCTTATCTTGGCACGCACTCGGGCGAGCCGACGCGACAGGTACCAAGTTACAACTAAAAATTATGAATGAAAAAGTTCAGAACAAGCCTTCAAATCGCCCATGCAGGAAAAAAAAAAGAGAACCATACATACAGTTGCTGTTTCTGACCCACTCATAATTCTCGAAAAGAAAAACTTTCTTGTAATGGACTCCACGCCTATGTCGGAAACGACAGCATGGAAAGTGAGGTAACGAGGTTACGGTCTAGAGTTACCTGCTCTTATTGTAGGGGCCAGAGGGCCCTGTAAGGGTGGTCTCACAAGACAAAACGTAGTTTTTGTTTTGTAAATATTTTATTCAAATATTGTTACAACTGTCGAGGGATTTTAAATGGACATTTAAATGCTTATAAGTACCCCAAGGAGGAATATATATAAAAAGAATATACTACCAGGAGAGAGTGTTTACTGGTGGTCAATGATCATGACAGCGTATTGTTATTATCATGATTATTATGAATCAAAATCACAACATTCAAAATACCAAAAGGTGCAAACTGGGCACTTCTTTAAAGGTCACATGCAACCAAAATATCAAACATAATTAAAACACAATTATCACTTCTTCATGACATATAATATGCATTGCTGATTATGAAAAAACAAATAAACAAAATTATAAGCGTATAATCGCAAATCAAAAGTGCAATATTTTGTACTTGGGTTTACCTCCCTCGAAACGAAGCAGCCGGGATACCGAACCCAGTCAGAGCGGGTGGGTGTGCACGCAAGTGTAACGGCTGGTTCATTTGCAGATGCCGCCTTCACGGCTCATTGTGTAGGTATATATAGAGATGTTGGGTTTTGTAAATACATGCTCATTTTTTGTGTATAACATTTTGCAATCAACAGACATCATAACATGTCATGTGTTCAAACTCACACCTGCCTGTCTGTGTGATTACGTAATGTGACAGAGACCGAACTCGGACCATAAATCAATGCTTTTTGTTTATGGTGTATAGCCTGATTGGTGTTAAGTTCAAATTGCATGTGGTCAGTGATAGCAGCTGTGTATTGAATATTGTCATTAGCAGACAGGCAGGCAGACACACAGGTGTCAATAAAAACAAGACATTGAGTTTTGTCTGTGACAACGACATATCTATATCACAGTTAGAAATTCTGTCAACTAAATAATGACATTGCTTTTAAGTATCGAACTGAGAAAGTGTCTCGGTAAGAAGAGCGTGTGGTGAAATAGACAAATGAAATTATATAAACAGTTAATTTACTGTCATAACATATATATAAAAAGCTTCGCGCAGAGATATCAACAAAACATTAGAAAAATAGCTCACACCAAAGCCTTCACCGAGTATTCACCCAACAACCAGCTTCCAAAGCAGCAAATCTATTTACTTGCGCGCGCGTGCTATCAGCTGTTGAAACCCGTTTTCCCCAATTAAAATTAGTGAAACGTTTGAACTCCGATTTGCTGGTTTTTTTTCATCGCGTTATTTTTCAACTTTATAAGTTGAATTTACATTTTTGACGATTTGTTTCGGTATGTCCATACCAAAAGGTATCAGAATCTGCAAAGTTGTGTTTTACGTTGCATGTGACCTTTAACCAAGTAGATAAACATGTGCCAGATCTCAGGGCAACTTGAATGCTTGTATAGCCTGATGATGTCACCCAGCATTATTGCAACAGACAGGGTGGATGTTCACATGGCATGTTGATGACACAAAGACAGCATCACTGTGATCATGACGATAATATGAATCATATACTAACATACAACATGATACAATAATGTGAGGAGGAGGTGGGGCAGCCTAATGGTTAAAGTGTCAGCTCATCATGCTGAATACATGGGTTCGATTCCCCACATGGGTACAATGTCTGGTGTCCCCCACCATGATATTACTTGAATATTGCAAAAAGCGGCATAAAATCATACTCACTCACTCACTCAGTCACAAGAAGAGTCATCAGAAGATGACATATCCCCCCGGCCCCCACAGTTACTTAAAGTCCAGAACTTGACTTTTTTTAAACTAAGTCCAAATCGTTTCCATGGAAATCATGAGAAATATAAATGCCCAAAATCTGCAAATAGCAAAAGGCACCACTTAAGGATCTGTTTGATATATCTACCAAGTTTTGTTGAAAAATATTGAACGGTTCTTGAGTTATGCTCCAGAAACGAAGCCCACCCCCCTTTAAGACTAAGTCCAAAAGGTTTCCATGGAAACCGAGAAAAATAAAAATGCCAAAAATCTGTAAATAGCATTAGGCACCACCTTACGTTCTGTTTGATATAAGTACCAATTTTTGTTGAAAAATATTGAACGGTTTTTGAGTTATTCTCTGGAAACAAAATGATTACGGACGGACGGACGGACGGACGGACGGAGATGGACAAGGCGTCGACTATATCCCCCACATTACATGCCGGGGGATAATAATGTGAGATACCAACAGGTATAAAAAGTTTGATATTTATGGCATCTCACTAACCATGAATAACAGTAACGTACAAAACTGTCCACATTTATGCAGTAAGGCATCATCCACCAGACCACTCTAACACCACTGAGGTAACACATGCAGTATAAAACCACACTCTTTATAGTTGAGTGAGTGAGTGAGCATGTATAATGCCAATTTTAATAGTTTAAATCATATCACTGTATGTTGATGTGTGAGGAAAGCTACAGTGATAAAAAAATTACCACTTTAGTGAAACAAGAAGCATAATATGGGTGAACATGGGATACAAAACAATTTTTAAACAAAATAAGGGGAGGTAACTATGACTGCTCTTTCTGGATCCTCAGACAGCTGGACTTACTGTGCCCTCCAATCACTATGCACTGAATCCTGTTTATGATCAACCTCCTCACCTGCAGTTTAAACAGGTTGGACTGAAACAGGCTCTCTGCTTCCTTCAGTGTGTTCAGCTCATTAGCTGTTGGAGGCTTGTATAACTTTTTATCCAATTTAGCAGCTTTAGCTGGTGGTCCATCTTGAGCTTCGTCCTCAATATCATCTTCATCCTCGTCTCCATCATCTTCAGCATCATCATCGTCTCCCTCGAAATCATCACTAACTACTTCATCATCTGACGCCTGTGGTAAAGGAAGCAATATTGCATAGAATCATATTTTCTAAGATTAAATTATTCCTTTCCTTCATCACAATTCATGATTATTATCCTGTCACTTTATCAAAGAATACTCAGACTTGAGCTAGCAGATATAGGAAAGGGGTAATTAAAAGACGTGAATCAAACATTGCGTCTACTGCTACATGGTCCACACTTGTTTCACGTACACCAGATATTAACTACAGGCTATGTGCCCCTATACAACTATAGGGGCATATCCTATGTATCGATTGCCTGTGATATCAACATGAATATCTTATTACAATAGATGTTACGACTTCGTTTGAATGCTTTCTAGATAAAAAGTCATGCTCCAAAATATTTTATATTTGAACATGAACACAATTTTAGCATTCATTTTGTCGACTGCAAACATGGCAAAATCGTAAATGAGAAATTTCATGTATCACTTCTAAACCAAATCCTCAACTCGAGTTTGATTAAGTTCAAGTATCCTGTATCATGCACAAGGCTACAAGCAATAACAACTTTATTAATCAGTTCTAATATCACTAATGTGTCGGCTTGGTGTCTTACATCTGATTGAAAATCATCCGTTTCATGAGTACGCTTCATCGTTCGACAGCAAGAAAGATGTAAACAGTTATATACGGGACCCACGTGTTGAAAGATCGAAGAAACGTAACCCACTTCCGGTTTTGCGAATTACCTCCCTTTAACCGCTGACGCCTAGATCTAACATTCCTATTACATTGTAACTGAAAATGGATATTACAAGTTTGGTTTTGTATATCTTAAAACATGATATATACGGAATCACTAAAGGAAAATATTCGTGAAAATGTGTACATGAATATGATATTTCTTACCATCATATTTTGATGCTCCAAAACTTAATTAATATCAACTTTTAATATATGATAATTTGTTTGGATCTTTGACAATGCGTCATTAATAAGGAGTGAGTGAGTGAGTTTAGTTTTACGCCGCACTCAGCAATATTCCAGCTATATGGCGGCGGTCTGTAAGTAATCGAGTCTGACCAGACAATCCAGTGATCAACAGCATGAGCATCGATCTGCGCAATTGGGAACCGATGACATGTGTCAACCAAGTCAGCGAGCCTGACCACCTGATCCCGTTAATCGCCTCTTACGACAAGCATGGGTTACTGAAGGCCAATATTCTAACCCGGACCTTCACAGGTCTCATTAATAAGGAAGTCCGGGCCCAGTAACTGTACCAATACGACTATTTCACGGATTCTCCAATATGTGAGTGCATACGGCATCGACACCAATAATAATTCATCTTACAAAAAATATATAATAAAAAAGAATTCAAATGCGCTCGAAAAATCTAGCAATAATTGTAACATTCGCTATGCAATATTCAAATATCCTCCCATTACGTTACGTAACCGATGACACGAGGAGCCATTTCCCTGACGGCCTGGAACCAGCCTCATGCGAAAAAATAGCCGCGACATTACGAACTAGAACCCACACCTATTCGTGGAAAAAAACATGCAGAAAACATGAAAGAAGGATTTTGTCCTTTTGTCCCATTTGTTGTCTTGTAACTCTTGTCAACAAGAGACAATACATGACTGAAGCGCACGAATGGCAAGCGTCGGGACAAGTTCCTAAACACCTTAACTAATCGATTAGTATGATTACAAGGTTAGGGAATTATCATAGGAAATTGGTTGACGTAAATTTCAGTAATGGTCGTGGTAGAAAAAAGCACATGCCGTGAGATTTCTGGAATGAATTCAGATACCGAGTTCCGGGCCATCACCAACATGTTTCAACAGAACTATTAGAAACTCACTGATGTTAAAGGTCAAAATATACCCCAGCAACCCATGCTTGGCAGAAGGGGCAAAGGGAGGATCGTGGATAAGACTTGCTAACGTGATTGGTTGTATGCCTTTAAAACCCGACGACGTGAGACGGCGCTGCTGGGTTTGTCTGGCCAGACTCGTTAATAAAGAAGCCGTCGTCACAGAGGTCAAAAGTTGCAAAGCGCAACGTTAACGAAAAACAGAAAGATATGGAATTGTGTGCAATCGGCAGTACTGATTAAAATGTCGTCTCATAGTTGTTGGCACCAACACGGCAGCTAAGTAAATACGTTTAAGAATGGAATGGCACGACGCCATTGTCATTTCAGCAACGTTACAGGTCACCGGAGTCGTATTTAGACGTGATAGTGAAAAAGTGAGAGAGAGAGTGGGTGTGGCTTTACGCCGCTCTTAGCAATATTCCAGCAATATCACGGCGGGCGACACCAGAAATGGGTTTCACACATTGTACCCATGTGGGAAATCGAACCCGGGTTTTCGGTGTGACGAGCGAAGGCTTTAACCATTAGGCTACCCCACCGCCCCTGATAGTGAGTGAGTGAGTTTAGTTTTACGCCGCACTCAGCAATATTCCAGCTATATGGCGGCGGTCTGTAAATAATCGAGTCTGGACCAGACAATCCAGTGATCAACAGCATGAGCATCGATCTGCGCAATTGGGAACCGATGACATGTGTCAACCAAGTCAGCGAGCCTGACAATCCGATCCTGTTAGTCGCCTCTTACGACAAGCATGGGTTACTGAAGATCAATTCTATTAATGTAAATGTACCTATTAAAACCTCTCCAAAACCCGTTGCGCATTTGTGTCACAGTCTGAGACGTCCCTCCGCATTGTTTTTCCCAGTCTGTCTCACACTCCCTCAACCACATTATTTTCCCTACTGCTTAGCCCTCCCTGCAATGTTAAAGGTCTAAATGGAGCTAGTCTAGATTTCCTCAGGTTCAGGTTCCCCCGAATCTCCCAACTCACTGGGGCTCCTTTTCAGTATAAATGGGTATATTTGTTACTATCAAAATTATATTAATCGGGGTCTAGGCGTTAGTCTATGTCTGTACCAGTCGTATGCAGTTCACCAAGAAGAGTGGGTGGCTCCAGATGCTAACGGCTTCCATCAAGGCAATCATTCAGAGCACGCTCTCGGTGTTAAACGGCTGTATGACATACACTAACATGTGATAATCTCTGTATTATCCAACACGACGTGGCATTGCTATACGTAAAAGTGAATGTTTGTAGTGGTCGGATCCTATGTACATGTACGTGTTAAAATTTCTTTGAAATTAATTTAGTTAGAGAGGCCTTTTTATAAATACATATATCATATCATTTACGAAAGTACAGGTTAGATTTGGTCTTCAGCAACCCATGCTTGTCGTAAGAGGCGACAAACGGGATCGGGTGGTCAGACTCGCTGACTTGGTTGGCACATGTCATTGTATCCCAAATGCGTAGATCGATGCTTATGCTGTTGATCACTGATGATCTGGTCCATACTCGATTATTTACAGACCGCCGTCATAAAGCTGAGTACTGCGTAAAACAACCAACGTCAAACTGTTCTTAATTGGCTAATTTGGTTATCCTGATTAGATTAAATGTTTGTTTGTTGTAACCACGAGACTTTAGTAGAGCACTATATAATGCCCGAAAGGCTATGCAGCCAGCTGTCCTGTTCCCGTTTTAAGAGAGCTTTGTTTTCATGCAAGATGGATTTGCCGGTGAATTCAGACTGATGTTGAGTGTGAGTGGGCGACAGTGTAACGATATGTTCAAGGATTGTGTACGTTTGTCAATAACTGATAATGATGACACGAGGAATGTAGAGCCCACTTGTTGTCTAGCACGTGACGTGAAGACACGTGAAGATAACACGTCAAGATAACATATGACTTAAGTCATATGCTTGTATGTCATTCAGTAACATCAATCAGCGAGTGAGTGAGTCGGTTTACCGCCCTGAGCGGTATTCCAGGTATATCTCTGTGTGTCTGCTTGATGTGGGAGGGAAGCCCGGAGTAATACAGGCCGTAGACAGTTTACCGCCATGGTGGAACCAGCGACCAGGGGAACGGAGGTGACAAACCAAGAACCATAATGAGGGCGACCAGGATTCGAACCCATATTCATAGGTTTCTGGTGTGCCCAAGGGAAAGTGAGTGAGTATGTGAGTTTAGTTTTACGCCGCACTCAGCAATATTCCAGCTATATGGAGGCGGTCTGTAAATAATCGAGTCTGGATTAGACAATCCAGTGATCAACAGCATGACCATCGACCTGTAGACGCAATCGGTTGACATGTGTCAACCAAGTCAGCGAGCCTGACCACCCGATCCCTTTAGTCGCCTCTTACGACAAGCGTGCGTTACGGAATATCAGTTCTAATCCGGATTTTCACGGGTCCCCAAGTGAAAGGTAGAGTACATGTGTCTCTATGTACAGGAAATACCAGGGTATGAAAGAGTACATTTGATCTCTGAGCATTCCACTGCACATGAATTTCCCCAGCAGCATACGAGATGTTTATCAGAAAACCATCCTTTGTGAGCAGCGTTATGAGTTCCGTGATCCATAGCGTGAGCACCACCCATGCATTGAAAGCATTCCGTCCAGTAGCTGTGTCAGATCCTGTTTTGAATCTCGACTGGAATGCCAGGTGTTGATAAACAAGTATACCTTACATTGTTGTTGTCAATTGAAGTCGCTGATAATAAATAGGGACCGTTTCAAAACTTCTTAAACCTTTATTATTTCGGCGTTCTTAACCGTTATACTGGTTACAAGAAATTGTGATATATAATTTACTTCACAAATCATCCGAGAAAACACTTTATTTGAAACTGAAACTTGAAATCTAACAATGTTTATACTATTATTTTCTAACAGCTCGTGATACGATCCCTGAATTTATGTCAAGTCATGTAACAAATAAGGCAATAAGCCCATCTGTTAAACACGGCAGCAGCCAATCAACTCCGGTCTCTTCTAACTCAGATAGACAAGCCTTCTCATGTCCGTATCAAAGTCCATGGAGTGCTGTGTTCATGCAGCGAAGTGGTCGGGGTGACCTTGACCCTTGAGTGGGTGCAATGGTGCAGCCCCAGACGACGGAACCACCTTGACAACTGTAATGTCTTGTAAAGCGTTGGCTGGGTGTTACCAGCAGTTGAAACTGAAGACAATTATGTTTCTAAAGTATTGACTAACTGTTCATTTATAATGTATCGACAAACTGTTCACAGTATCCCAGAAACTCCTACACACATACATAGCTTCTGTTATTTCCATCCGTTCAGCATGTCTTTTGATTAATATATTTACATTTGCTTTGAAAACGCAGAGGTGTATTTTCTTAGTCGCCAGTTTGCGTTCAGTTAACAAACTAATTAGTCACAGTGGGTTACATCGTTGTTACACGTCCGATGTCACAGTGCCAGATCTCCTCTAGTTGATGTGGGGGAGCTTAGTACTTGGTTAAAACGTTCGCTCGCCACGCCAAAGACCCGGGTTCGATCCCCAACATGGGTACAATGTATTAAACCCAATGTATTAAACCCACTCGCTGTACCGTAATGTCCACATCTACCACTCACTGGACCATAATGTCCACACCTACACTCACTGGACCGTAATGTCCAAACCTACACTCACTGGACCGTAATGTCCACACCTACACTCACGAGACCGTAATGTCCACACCTACACTCACTGGACCGTAATGTCCACACCTACCACTCACTGGACCGTAATGTCCACACCTACCACTCACTGGACCGTAATGTCCACACCTACACTCACTGGACCGTAATGTCCACACCTACCACTCACTGGACCGTAATGTCCACACCTACCACTCACTGGACCGTAATGTCCACACCTACACTCACTGGACCGTAATGTACCACTCACTGGACCGTAATGTCCACACCTACACTCACTGGACCGTAATGTCAACACCTACCACTCACTGGACCGTAATGTCCACACCTGCCACTCACTGGACCGTAATGTCCACACCTACCACTCACCGGACCGTAATGTCAACACCTACACTCACTGGACCGTGATGTCCACACCTACAACTCGCTGGACCGTAATGTCCACACCTACCACTCACTGGGCCGTAATGTCCACACCTACCACTCACTGTACCGTAATGTCCACACCTACACTCACTGGACCGTAATGTCCACACCTACCACTCACTAGACCGTAATGTCACCACCTACACTCACTGGACCGTAATGTCCACACCTACCACTCACGAGACCGTAATGTCCACACCTACACTCACTGGACCGTAATGTCCACACCTACCACTCACTGGACCGTAATGTCCACACCTACACTCACTGGACCGTAATGTCCACACCTACCACTCACGAGACCGTAATGTCACCACCTACACTCACTGGACCGTAATGTCCACATCTACCACTCACGAGACCGTAATGTCCACACCTACTCTCACTGGACCGTAATGTCCACACCTACCACACACTGGACACCACGCCTACAAGGATTCGACCAGTTCATCTCCTCCAAGGAACCTCATACATGGGAGTTTTAATTTCATCTAAACTTCTACTTCAATACCGTGCGCTTGTCTTACGCTATCTTCCCCTCCCAGATGTGAAGCAAGTTCAGTAACGTATTGAAACAAATATGCTTAAATCATATATTGTCGTTGCACTTCGGGGCATTGTATATAAAGACATAAAATATATCTTCTGAGCGATCTTGTTTATCTTGAAAGATGCACAGGAAAGTCCCGTCTTAGGTTTTACAGGGTCGTGTGAATGAATTACGTCCCTTCTATCTGGTTCCGGTTCACCATGACTATGTTTTTCAGGTTTGTCAGCACCATACAATACCGTGCGTATTACTAAATATTAAACTGAGACCTGGTTCACTTTCGGGTGTCCTCCGACATTAACCTGACAACTGGCATACTATTCAAAAGGGCGTTAGAGCAAACTCACTCACTCACTCACTTCGTCGTGTCCCCAGTCACCTACACAAGGCTTTCAGAATTGCTCAATGGACATTGACAACCCATCTGAAGTCGCCGTCATTCAGCTGCAGTGCCATCCTCGATATCTCCAGGGTATACGTTCCGATAAATCTCCACTATATGCAAGAAGTCCTTCTACCTCTTTCAGAGTACCTCTGCATGATTTGTGTTGCCAGGTTTAATCGATTAGATAATTTATGAAGCGAAAGTGAGTTGTGATTAGTACGCTCAACTTCCCAGGGTAGACACCTGATTTGATAAAAAGCCAGCAAAGGGAGGTAATAAATTCATAGGGCCGAGCCGTAGATGCGTCCAGGGTATTGTGGAGATTTATCGGAACGTATACCCTGGAGATTATTGAGGATGCTGCAGTGCAGGATCTGCAATCACTAGGACCAAGCCAGCACCCCGACTGTGTTGTCCAGTTTCTTGTACCTGTGTCTCTTTATGCTATCTTTAGCGCATAAAAGTACGTGCCATCATACAACTGTTTAAAGAAACGTAAAATCTCACTCACCTGAGTATTGCATGTGATGAATATGAGCAATATATATATATATAATGCAGAGGTACTGGGGGAGACTAACGTAATCAGCACAGGCTACATCATGTATCCCCATACATGTGCTCTTCTATAATCTAAGGCACCACAATACGCTTTAAAGAATGACAGAGGGTTTGAACCACAGTTCGGCCCGATTACGGTTCCCATGGTTGAACCAAGGTGCTGAGCGTATGAGACCAGCATCAGTGGGGGCTTGACCTACCTCTACATCAAACTGTGGCTCTGCTGGGAACGCCATAAACGTATGATCATCAGATGATGTTTCCAGATTTGTCCCCGTGCGTTTTACCAAGATCATCGAAACGGCTTTCCTCCAACATAAACCTAGCTTCCTTCCGAAATTAACGTCGACCCTTTGGCCCGAAGCCGGCTGTAAACCGCTCGGACCCACAGCTTGTGTTTTCTGCAGGTCCTTATGGCCGACAGCTATTTCATCCCCAATAGCTGACATATCCCAGTCTGAACATTGTGATTCAGACGTATCAGAAGACTCGGACCTTGACATGGATGTTGATGTTGTTGTAAATGGAGACAAGTCAGTCACTAGAGTCAAATTACACCCTTTAACTTCGTTTGTTGGTTGTAGCATTTTTTGTTTGCTGGGAATTACTTATATTGTAGCTAAAATATAGTGCCTACACATTCTGATCAGGACCCATAACGTTTTATGGTTCTGGGTCCTTGTGGCCTGCAGCTTTTCAGGGTTAAGGGCAAACACTGCTTGGGTACGCCAGAAACGTACGGTCTCCCCAATAATGTTTCCAGATTTGTCAGCACTAACTCCCATGCCTTTTCTCCCACATCAAACTGACACACCATGACATATCTAGATTCCTGTTCAACGTTAAACCAACCCACTCACTCAGGCTGTTAAATATTAGGTGGACCCAAACATGCACACGCGGTTGTTACTTACTTACGTATTTCATATCGGGCTCACCTTTTCACACACGCTCTGCACTGTATAACAGAACGACATTGACTTTGTTCCCTGAATACATTTTACAAATATTAACACAATAAAATCAATAAAAGAAACATCTGCCAGACTAAGGCAGGATTACAATGTGCACGCACACCGAAACATGTTTATCAGATATCTGTGTTTTAAAGAAACGCTTCATCAATAGCCACTGTTCTCGAAAAGAACAGCGATCGAACTCTGCACTGAGAGGCGCTGCACCAGTTTGCCCTCGAGACTTAGCTCAGCGTCGATAGGAGACCGCGCAAGTCTAGAAGTTGTTTACGACAACTGTCGAAGTCGGTCAGGTGCAGAGGGATCATACTGTACCGTAATAGACTCCGCGATGGATTTATTATTCAACCTTGAGGCTGGCCTGTTTGTTCATGGTGTCAGAAGATACTATGCATACATTTCTGAGAATAAACTAAGCGCTGCATATACGTAACGCCATCAGAAAATAATTAAATTAAAAATGCGATTTTTAAATTTGCAGCCGAGTAGACCTGCAGGCATAAAAATAACCACATCATTCTATAATCAATTAGCAAGACTGCTGTGTCTATACTGCTACGTAACAACAGTTGCTAGGCATCGAAATACTCAACACACACGCGAACGCGAACGCGCACACAGACGCGCGTCGATAAGGTGAGTATTCTGCAAACATATTGCCGAAGACGGAAGCTGTCAGTGGCAAAAACAACGATCATGTATGTCCCCAAGTTAAGGTGTAAAATAATCAGGCCAGACACTGTTAGCTCCCAATCCTAATCCCACGTGGTTAGCTCCCACGACAAGAATCGTGTGTCGGAGACAAGCTAGTCTGGCCGTGAATCTGGACATTATGAGACGGAAACCATGTAACCGCCCTGCATACAGTGAGACTGAATCCCTTGAGGGACACAGTGGATATACTGGAGATGGCATAACAAGGGACATTATGGATAACAACTTATTATAAACACACGTTCCAGGGCTATATAGGTGAAGCTAGTAAATTTTGTGACAAGATTATGTAAAGCTATAGAAATAGGTGAGAGGTGAATATGGTTTTACGCCGCCTTTACAAATATACCAGAAAGTGTACCCATGTGGGGAATCGAATCCGAGTTCCGGCGTGACGAGCAGATGCTTTGACCACTAGGCTACTCGACCACCATTGAGTCAATCGGAGCTATAGAGACAGTTGTAACTGTAACGGTATAGGAGAGGGGGTACACGGTATGATGGTACATACAAGGGATTAAAGGCTTGTTGACACTATACACTACATATTTATACATATACTGACTGACTGAGTTTGGTTTTACGCTGCTTTTAGCAATATTCCAGCAACATCACGGCGGGGGACACCAGAAATGGGTTCACACATTTTACCCATGTGGGGATTCGAACCCGAGTCTTCGGCGTGACGAGCCAACGCTTTAACCACTAGGCCACCCAACCGCCCCCACAACGAAACGAAACAATTGCAATAAAGAAGTTGTCTATTCATAACAATTGTTCCTCTTCAGCATACCAGTTTCTAAATGTCACTTAAAGACGTAGTAAGCTGAAAACATTCTTCGGAACACTGCAGACTCAAGTTGCACTATGGTACTCGATTTACCATATCTTGTTTGTTAAATTTTTAGATCCAACCCAATACGGATGTGCAGTTTTCCGGCAATTTATACTTCTATCTGTTCAGTTATATAGTGTTTGTTTGTTGTTAAACTCCGCAATTAGAAATGTTATAGGTATATGACTGCTGTCTGTAAACAAACAAACGAGTCTGGACCAGATGATCCACTGATTGACATGATGAACATTAAGGTTGGTTGGTTGTTTAACGCCAGCAATATTCTAGCTATATGGCAGCGGTCTGTAAATATTGGTCTGGACCAGACAATCCAGTGATGACCATCATGAGCATCGATCTCCGCCAATGACGTGTCAACCAAGTCAGTGAGACTGACTACCCGATCCCGTTAGTCGCCTCTTAAGACAAGCATGGGTTGCTGAAAACCAATTCTGACCCAGATCTTCACGTGTCATTACATTTTTGGGACCAATTTCACCTGGATTCCCCTATAAGGATACGGTTCGGCGTTACTGTGTGCCCTGTCGGTGAGTGGCGTAAATCTGTCTGTACAGAGTGTGTTTACGTGCACAGAAGCCGACAGACACATATATTTTATGTCAAGGAACAACAACAGGCCATTATTGTAACACGTGTGTTGTGTCGCATGTAGACTATCTGTGCTGCCGGAAATGTTTTATAGATAAATAAACTATCGAACTGACGAAAACAACACAAAAGCATCAGCTGTCATAACACATGTTTCACATTCATATTTAGGAAACGGTTCAAAACAAAAGTTATTTGTCGTGTTATTGACTTCACAATTATATGTTTACAGGCAACAAAACAAACCCACGTGAGGAAACAAAATATAAGATGATTCATCACATTGTACGCGGTGATGTTGTTGTCGTTGCTGCTGCTGCTATGTTGGAATCCGATCCGCCCGACGACCGTCTTGAAGCATCATAGCCTCCACAGCTCAATGAGGTGTTACAAAGTTTCAACAATATAGCTGTTCATCAGACTTCATTAGTGTTGATTATGTATAAGTTTTATATCTCAAGGGAGACTTCTCGGTGGTTGAAATGCACGTTCCCTGATGTTCGGGTATTTTTTTTTTAATAAGATACTTAATACTTTGTCATACAATGTCATACCTGTTACGTAAACCCTTAGTCACATTTTACGTGAAATCTACCCGTGTTACGTTACTCGCTACTCACACTTTCCTATATTTACCTGCATGTGTCAGTTTCACCCTAAGTCACATTTTACGTGTATCTGTCCACGTTATGTAAACCCCCAATCACACTTTCCTATATGTACCTACACTTGTCACGTTAACCCCCAATCACACTTTCCTATATGTACCTACACTTGTCACGTTAACCCCCAATCACACTTTCCTATATGTACCTACACTTGTCACGTTAACCCCCAATCACACTTTCCTATGTTTACCTATAGGAATGTATGCTTGCTGAACTTGAATAGGAAAACATATTTTTGAAACCTTTAAAGACTACAAGGGATACTAAACTTCAATGGTTTCAGTTCAGGATTATATACTAAGCAGCAAAAGAAACGTCAGTTTGGAATTTTCCTTCGCAGAAACGGATAACTGTAAACTCATTTAAAGTTTTGATTGTATATTTTTGACGACATCTCCAGCTTTACCTGAGCAAAGACATTCCTTCCCAAACTCAGAATGGAACCCAGGAAATGGTCTCAAAAACGCAACCTGATCTCGGAGATGGTACGTTTCTCCATGTTTTTCATGCAACTCATGCTGCACGTGCTGTTCACAAGGACCAGCCCTATAAAATACACACCAAAACCTGGTTGAAACATTCACATTACAACGTCAGCAGGAAGCCACGACTCACGACAGCTCAGAGGAACCAGGCGCTATGAAGACTTGAAGCTGGCCACACTGCACAAGCCGTTGCCAGCCACTTCCAGGCCATGTTCGGACCATCTACAGGCTGCAGCAACGTTTCCGGGCTACCAACACCACAAATGATCTCCCCGTACTGGCAGACCAAGGGTGACCGCAAGACGACAAGACCGCCATGTTGTGCGACAGCATGTACAGAATCCCCTCCTGCAGGCATCCGAAACAGCACGCCAGACGGTGGGAACAAACGGAAAACCAATCAGTACTGATAAAGTACGCCGACGTCTTAACAGCGGTAACCTCCATTACCGTAGACCTTACCGTGGGCCTATCCTCACCCCTCGTCATCGGCGTGAACGTCTACAGTTTGCCCTACAACACCAAAACTGGCGATACAGGCAATGGAGAACTGTTCTGTTCACAGATGAGAGTCGGTACTGCGTATCAACTGTAGATGGAAGAACAAGAATATGGCGACGACGTGGATAGCTTTACTCAGACCAATGTGTTACGGAGACTCATGGGGAGGTGCAAGCATCATGGTATGGGGTGGAATAGGCCTGAACCAGAGAGTGGGTCCTGTGGTGTTCCAGAACCTTGGTCCAGAGAGAGGAGGCGGCATCACAGCGGTGCGCTACATCAACCAAGCTCTCAGACCCCACGTCATACCACATTTCGCACGTCACCGGAACAACATCCCTGTTACATTAGACCCCCAATCACACTTTCCTATATTCACCCACATCTGTTATGTTAACCCTTAGTCACACTATATATGTATCGATCCCTGTTACGTTAACCCCCAATCACACTTTCCTATATTTACCCACATCTGTTATGTTAACCCTTAGTCACACTATATATGTATCGATCCCTGTTACGTTAACCCCTGATCACTCCTTTAC